AGTTTGCCTGTGCCACTACTGCACAAGTTCTTAGATACGACTAGTAAGTTGGAGGGCGAGTCCTTCACCACCTGTGCGCCCACTGCACCATCTCCCAACCTCAGCACAACCACAAGTCTCTAATTCTTTCTGCGCACGGCAGGTCCCACCATCCAGGAAGTCCAATGCTACAGCTTTAGCTGATGCAAGCACCCCATGGGTAGAATTGCCGTCAGCCGCCGAAGACTCAGCCTACAGGCAGACCGGTCTGTCAACTGCTTGACATTGGTTTACATAGACTTGTGGGGGCCTATGTCTATAGCGCACTCCGGCCTCAACCCATGAAGTATCTCCCGAACAGCCGCACGATGAATCCTGTCGCAGAAGCCCGGTACGCGGCTTTGAAACCGATTCTCTACAAGTACAAGCACATATGAGCTTCGAGCAAAAATCAAGACCGCTCTCTCCTCTGCAACTGCACAGGAATTGGTCCGGCTGGCCTATCCCAAAGCAAGCAGAACTCAGCTTCTTTGCCATTGCTTTCAACGCAGAAGGCCTTCTAGCCACCTCCTGCAGTTCCGGCACGCTATCCTCGAAGGTTGTATCCTGACTCCGCCCCAAGTGCAGCAGTTGCATCAGTAAAGAGCCTGCATCCTGCATGCGCTCTAAGGTCTCGGGCCTTTGGAAGCTGCATATGGGGCTGAACCTCATGAGGTCATGTCACGCTTTTGTGCGGTTGCATGCCTGCAATGTCCCAAATCCAAGACCAAAGCAATGTCCACCTTCACTGCACCATCTCGCTGTCGGAGAACTTTGCTCCTTTCAACATGAAGGCGCAGCAACACCTAGGCGGCGTGGCCCGTGCTATGTGGGTGTGATTCTGAGTGCGAGGTATGTCGAATCTTCTTTCTCCTTGACCGCTGGCGTGGCAAGACCTGTCTTATTGTCTTATGATTCCATGATACACGCTGTGCTGAAGATGTGGTATTGGGAGCGTGCCTTCTTGCAAGGGCCGCCCCTTGTACTTGCTGAGCTGGAGCCCGCCAGCCAGGTCCGCCCTAGAAGGCCACAACACAGACACTCGAGATGAACTCGACGCCGCGTCAAATTCTGCCTTCACTTGCCAGAAGAAGGCTGGCCACAGCAGCCTCCGCTCCAAGCCATTTAGACCCGTGCAACTGGGCTTTTTGTTAAAGTTCACTGTGGGCTGCCACTAAGTTGCAGGCAGCGGCTGCCAACCACTTGCTTCCAGGCAGGGTCTCATTCATACTCCTAGAGCAGACAGGATGTAGCGAAATTCTCGTATCAAGGTAATCACCAATATCTATTAAATTCTTAGATCTCGTCCTTGTCTTCATGCGGGCATCACCTGCCTGTCCAGAATGAGGTTGTGGCTGCTCTCGTATCAATGGGGGTAAAAGCTCGGGTTCAGTCGCTCGTAAGCTGCGAAGCACTCGCTGCCCCCATCGCTGGAACTAAGATGTTTGTGCAGCTGCACTACCATCCGTAAGTCAAGGCCCTCCCTCTCAGCCACTTTCAAATGAGCCAGGCGTAGCTATGGGATAAATAGGATAGCTTACTGGCATCTATGCTGTCTCGGCAGACGATTCCTGACCAAAGTAAGATTTCAAGGTCATGTGTGATAGGATAGATCTGGTCTAGCCGGAAGTCTTGCTGCGAGCCCAAGCCAGGCATGGCGTAAGAACCGCAGCCCAAGAAATCATTGCTCGCCAGCGTAAGCAGTCGTAAGCTCGCAAGTCAAATGATGGGAGGGCTCCACCAGCTCTTTGGTTGGGGCCTTGGTTCTGCGAGTGCTTCTGGGCACAGTCGCTGGCTACACTGGGTTAAGCCAGAGGCTTCGAATAGCAAGGACCTCATGTACGGCTTCACGTGCTTCTTTGCCGCCAGAAACAAGGAGCATCCAAGGACATCACAGAGGTCTGACAGACATACTGGTCTCGACCTGTTGGCAAGGCGCACTCCACCTCTTTTCCGGCACCCTCAAATCAGCTCCGTACCTCATCCCTTCCTGCACCTGAGTACATCTGAGTACGCTGGCGCGGCTTTGTGGGTAGAACCCATAAGGCTTGCAAGTGCAGGAGCTGTTGCGGCCAAACTGGCCACTGTTATCAAACATGTCCAGTCACGGGACTTGCAAGGGTCATAGTAAGAGTGATGAAATGCTCGACGAGCTGCCAAGCACCAGCGGAATATTGTTCACCGCCAGAAGTACGAGTCCCGGCCGCAGGTCTTCGAAAATCGATGCGCAGCTACCTTCACCGAGGGTGCATGGCGCAGCATTCTCTGGGATTGTGACCAGGGCTGCCTGTTTTTATAGCTTGCACTTGCCGCATCTTGCCGCATTTTCTGATTCTATATCGATTGCATACAGCTGGGAGCACAGTTCCACACAGTGCCATTCTACAGCTTCACAATGGTAGAGCTATCACGCTTTCAGGAGTCTCAAGTAGGGACGAATGTTTGAAGCCTCTCAAAAAGAGGAACGATTTGGAGCCCACCTGGCACAACTCCAGAAAGCACCGGGAGTGCCATGGACCAATCGACCTGTCTCCAGAACACTCATAAGATCAAGCTCACTTCGCAGATCACGTGACAAGATGATCAGGTTGGTGCCACAAGCCCCATGGGGAACTCGCCTGGCTGGAAGTCCACCTGCAGATCCACTTTTAAGTCGCTCAAATGTGCAACTGAGCCTGACTGAGGCCGGGTTTGCGGCCAATGTGCCTCCACGAAGTTTTCTTCCATCTCCATTTTTCGCTTTCGTGAAGCTTCTGGTGGAGGACGGGCCTGAAGCGTTGTCCAGGTAAGCTCAAGGGCAAGCAGCTCCCATCTGAGGGCAAGACTCTGTTGATAATAGCGTTCATTGGCAGCCTCACCAGCGATCATATAATGTACAAACAATGCTGCCGTCATCCAGCTACACAGCCCACAAAAGCAGAACATAGCGCCTCAGTTCTCCATGTTTTCGCCTGTGCCATCACATTGTCCATGTGATACCCCGCAAATGCCATTATGCAAGTGTGGTTGCAGTGTTTTCAAGAAAGGCTGATCTTCAGTTGCCGCATATCGCCGCCGGCCTCGGCGGCTCCTGAACGTCTGGCGACATTGGCTTCGCCTCAGCTTAAAGCTATGAAAGACGGTCCAACCCACAGCTTGAAACTCTTGCAGTTCTCGGCCCCTTGCTGGGGTTTTCGGTGGAGCCGCAACCATAGCGGTTGGTGCCGCCATGCTGCGCAGTTTGAAGCGCAAGCTCTGTCGCACGGGAAATCACAGAAGGGGAAACAAGTCTAGGGTTTCTAGGCTGTATGTCATGGCACAGCGGCATCACGTGGCGATGCAAGCAGCTGCATGCTATGGTCCTGTGGTTTACAGATGACTGTAGGATGATTGTGCATCGTGTGGTTTCATGCCATTTACTTTCATTGTTCTTTGTACAGTGGCATAATTTGTGAGATGCAATAACGAGAAGCTTCAGAGTCATTCTCTTGGCAAAAGGATTTGCAAGTTTCATTTGATGATTGAGGATGCTTGCCAGCTCTTCTGAGCTGACTACGAGGATAGAGTTGAGGGCCCTCCTGCCCTTTGAAGCTTCCTCTCTTGAACATTCGGAATTCACACGCTTCTATCAACAACTTTGTAGGCAACAGGGCTCAACGGCTGGGGGCAGGCAAATAAATCGAACATGGGGCAACCAACAAGAATACAATGCTTGCAATGTCAAGCTGGTGCACAATCGGCAGCCCCTGTCAAGTGGTGTTGGTTGACTTGGATGTTTAGTTCTTAACTGTCTGGCACCCCGACACGGCTGCTTAGCAGCCTGCGGGGGCGCCTGAGCCAGGAGCATGTCGGCATGAGCGCTATTGCCTTTGAGGGCGGATCATACTGTGCCCACAGCACAAAGCTGACACGCGTTTGCTCGGCTACCGGCTGTAAAACTTGCAGGTCATGACATGGTGCCATGCATGACGGCCTCTGAAGTGATGATGCGCGATGCCCTCCTGCATTTGCGACCACCTCAGCACGTGCAAGCATGCCTTGAGGAAATTTGGAAGGTGTGGGGAAGGGCAGCAGTACTCGCTAGCAGTACAGAAGGATCACTTATCGCTGGCCTCTTCTCGCAGAAGCTAGCCCAAACTTAATCAACTTACAGCCTTTTTTGTGTAGGTGCGACGAGCCCCTGGCATCTCTGACGTAGGTAAGCTCAGTCTGTCCTGCATGCCAGGTGCAGCAAGGCTTTGCATACCCGAAACACTCACGATGCAACGCACTGAATCGCGTCGTGGGCATGGCGTGCCAAGATGCCCGATCTGTCCTGCTGCCAGGTCTCGCTCTAATCGCTCATTCTCCGCTCGGAGCCGTTCACAGTTTGCCTCAGGCCAGGCCCTGGAACGACAGCTGCTTCAAAAGGTTTTACTGCATCTTGCCTCCAGGAGTCGGAGCTTCTCGTCTGACATCTCCTGTAAAAAGGCCCAAGGTATGACAGCTTGGATCACGGAATGTGTCTTGGTTCCCGTGCCGGCTGGGCACGAGCGAGCTCTGCCTGACTGCACAGCATTGCACGGTGTTGCACAGCGCTGCGGAGACAGTCTGGCACAAAGCAATTGTTGGTGCAGGGTTTGTTGGGCTCTGAGGTTTGGGCAACTCGCCTCTCCTGCAAAGCTTGTGATGCTGAGGCAGCTCATGTTGCAGCCCAATGTGGACGTACATGATCCTCTCACATATGCCTTTTGCAGCACGATGCCCGGTTGGCAGGCGCACCAAGTTCATTATGCTGCAAGTTCTTCTCAGCTGTTCAGCATCAGCCTTCTCACTGAAGCCGTCCGAACTCCTTCAGCTTGAAAACATCAGACGACCAAAGGTAAAGAGTTAGGTATACTTAGGTCATGGGATGTGAGGCAAGACCTCGAATCACATGAACGACTGCCGTTGGCCTGAGAGAGGAGACGTCTGATTGACACAACCCCTCAGAGACCATTTCACAGGGGTTCTGAGCAAAGGGCCGTGGTAATACGGAGGAGGGCGGCGGTATGGAGGAGGTGGGTGTCGGTAGTAGCCTGCATGCCAAAGTGCAACCACTGGGCGAACTGCAAAACATCCCAACACCGTCCAGACTTCAAGTAGCAATTTCAAGTAGCAACAGGCCTGGAGGTGGCGGCGGGGGATAGCCTGGGTTGTGCACCGCTGCACCCTTCCCGCAGCAAAGAGTTTTCCAGAGCATTTCTGAGAGGAGGGCCGTAGCCTCCTCCACCATATCCTCCAAAGCAAAGCTAAGCTACACTGCCACGCTCTAGTCCACATTGCTCCATACAGCTTAGTCGGCCTTTTCCACCTCCCTTTGCGGGAGCTGGTGGTGGAGGAGGTGGTGCTGCTTCTGCTTGGTCTGCAGCAGCTTCTGCCTACAGCTGCCGATGCGAGAGTGAAATCGGAAAGCAGAGACGACCATTCGTTTTGGTGTCATCCAATCGCGGTTGTCGCCTCTGACTTCTCTTTCAGCTTCTTCTCGACGACATGGCCAGCAGCCCCACCAGCAGCAGCGCCCATCAAACCAGCCATTTTGCAATTCATGTTACAGATCTCCTGGCAGATATGGGACTGAACATTGCACGGTGGAAGGGGATAGTCCTTCTCGATGTAGCTCAGCTGCTTCTGCATCTTAACCTCAGGATCCTGCCAGAAGCAGCCAACCGCTGGCAGCTGGTTGTATGAAGTGTCAACCAAATCAGCACATCGCTTGAAGGCTGCAGGATGCTGCAGAATTCTGCAGGCCTTTTGGTCATCGGCATCCTTCTCCTCCTTCTCAGAGCCAAAGGGCATCAAGTTCATGGGGTTCATGGCGCCCAGCATACCGCCCAAAGAGCCTCCTCAGTGTTTGGGCAGAGTACTTACAAGAATCTTTGGCCCGCATGCTGTGCCCGAGTTCCCAGCCAATGCCACCTGGACATTTAGACCTGGAGAAACATGACTCCTTTGGGGATTTTCACGTCCAGCACGTCATAAGACAGACATGCTCGGCCGTCTCGCGCAACCGAGTGCCAAGCGCGCACAACATGAAGGCACCCATACCGCCTGCTGCGGCACCGATGCCGGCACCCATGCCAATGAAGGATGTCCTTTCCTGCCCACAACCCTTACACCGCACCAGCATGATCAACGACCGAAAGGGCTTCTATGGTTCAGGCAAACAAGTATCACCCAGCGCAGGTTCCGATCTCCAGGTGCCTCCACATCTGAAACTAGGAGTCCATCTTCTGTCAGTCTGGATCGCACCAGCGCATACATCAGGAAGCTCCTTAGTCATTCTGGCAATGGCTTGGCCCCCCTAAAACATACCCCGGGGAAGGGACTCATGCACGAAAGCTGATCGCCGAGGCTGCGGAAGCCCCCGTTGGAGAGCTTGAGCACTTGGCTTCTTTGAGCTGCACTCAGCTCTCCTTATTTTGACTGTGGGCCGAGATGGCAGGGCCGGTCTTCATCAGGTCAAGCACTCGCATAGGACTGTAGAAACAAGTGCACTGACCAACTTGACTCCATAAAGCACCACTTTACGAGGCAGTCCTCAACACCAGCTTGATGAAAGCTCCTTTCCTTGGCAAAAGTCAGGAATACTCGGGTCTTGAAGCATCTAGGCTTGCGTTAAGCAATCCCTACGAGACGGACTTTTGGGAAGTCTTTGAACCTCCTGCTTGTGGGCGTGGCGTCTTCAGGTCCGAACGGCTTGCTTAGCACCGCAATGACGGAGTTCATGTAAAGCAGCTGAAAGTTTGCAGTAAGGTGTGGCCAGCGGAGTGGGCCATGAGCACGACCTGCCGGCCAGCGAAGAAGGTCGAACTCAGCCATGGGCGGCGCCAGCACAAGTCCGCCAGGGCGGAGCATGCACCAAGCTGCTGCTGCCTGCTGGAGGTCTGCAAAGGGATTCAAACGGTCTCCGTGGCGGCCTGTGCCAATGGTTGCCAGCCCCAGGAGCACGAAGCCATCGAAGGGAGCATCCCTTGAAGCTTGTTGCACTGAGATTGGTCTGAGCCCTTCGTGCAGAGATGGAGCCCGATATCTGTCCGGGCTTGGCACTATGGATGCCACGGTCTTGGCACCAAACGACAACAGAAGTGCCTCCATCCAAGGGCTCCACCATTCGAAGTGCTTGCAATCACCCCACACCGCCCAGCTTTGGCCCTCTACAGAGCTCGGCAAGCTGCCCAGGACTTCAGCAAGGGCATTCACTCGCTCAAGAGATGTTGGTCCAGGAGAAAGTGTCGAGTTCTTGGCTCGTTCAATTAACGTCGCGATCGCCTCAGCATTCCAAAGCCATTCAGGCTCTGCATGCTGTTTCTGAGGCAGTTGGCCACCGGAGAAGCCCAGAGCCTGTCGAATGGCTGAGTGTGACAGGACGGGTACTTGGTCATTCATCGTGAAGTGCTGCCGCAGGATTGGCGGAATGCTAGGAGGCGGGGCGCGTGGGACCGAGTGAGTCTGAAGTGCAGCACTCGCAAGCATAACGTCGCAGTCAACATGCTTCATGTTTCTGCCGCTCAAAGAAGCTTTTGTATCGCAAACATCTCCGCAGCCCTCAAAGAAAACTTGAAGTTCATCAGCATATAGGGCATTGAGAAGAGCGTCTCGAAATTGTGCGACCCGCTCAAATGTATCTTCCAGAAGGTCTGACAGGACTGTGTTCAAAGCCGAAGATGAGGGTTGTCTGGACAGCATCTCCAGCACGTCAGCAAGTTCGGCAGGAGCCCATTCCTCCAATAGAATCAAGAAATTACGGGCACCCTTCCAAACAGACTGGTTGCTAGAAGGCACAGCCACACGCTCCATGCTGTGAACTGGGAGGCCTTGCACCAAATCCATGGCCAGAGCCCTGATTTTTTCGACATCTGCATCTTCTGGACCCTGCCACACCAATTGCTCAGTAGCGCCTCGAACTGCATTCAGGTAGGCCTGCGCTTTCCCACAAGCAGTGAAAAAGAGCCCAGCGAAAGTAGAGAAAACGTCCACCCTGTCTTCATGCAGCTCCATCATGGTAGATATGTCACAGAGCCGCCAACGCTCCAAACAGCAGTTTTCATAATTCAGTGGATACGCAACCCAACATTCAGGATTGCCTCCCGGCCCAAATTCCCAGCCACAGCAACCTTCATAACCGAAGGGTGATGCTGCCCAACACGCAAAATGGCCAAATTGCAGCCAGGTTGGAATGTCGTCCACAGGCCGAGCTTGGAGCTCAAGGCAGGTCAGCAAGACTCCAAGGGCCTCAAGTAGGGAGAAGCGAAACTTCGCTTCTTCCAGTACCATTCGGACAGGGCCGAGTCCAATAGCATGGCGCCTGTCTTGGCCACGGAATTCAGTCTGGAGCAGAGGATTTACAAGCTGCACAGCAACAGAAGCACGCTTTAGCCAAATGCAAACGGGGCTGTAGGGGGTACTGGATCACTGCCCATACCCACACCCAGGTTGCTATTGAGGGCTAAGTCCAGTTCCAAACGCTGACTCTCACGGCGTAACTTCGTCGCTTCCTCCTCCGACAGCGACAAGACACACAAAAGGCCATGCATGCTGCATACCATCTACAACTTTAGGGCAAGAAGTGAATGCTGCATTTATCAATCTAGCACATGCAGTTGCACATAGTCCTGCATACGCCGAACCCACTGCTGATGCCTAAAAAAGCAGGATGAGCGTAGCTATACCTCACCTCAAGCAAGAGTTTTTGCCTGTGGCGTTTATCGCGGAGCTCTGCATTCACAGCTGCTGCTTCAAGAGATGCCACCTGCTCAATTGCGGGAAAATGGGATTCTCGACTAGAGTGTGGCGGACGCCTTGATTGTCCGAAGACAGCTGGCTCTTGCAGCGCCCCGTGAATGGCCCAGGCCCAGTGCAAAGTTTGTGGGAAATCAGCTTAGGTAGAGAGGGAATCTACCAAAAAGCTGACCATTCGGACCTTTGGAGTTAACACCCAGACCCCCAAGACCAGGGAAGGCACCACCCCCTCAACATGTTTGACTCTTCGTTTTGGGAGGCCAGCGCTGATCAGGATCCTTTGCCTTGATATCCTTGTCAGCTTCTCGAAGCTCCTCCCGCAAAAGAGCAGCCTGCGGCACCACAAATCACGATTTCTTCAAGACACCGCCCAGCACCTATATAACTTTAATATAAACCTTATAATACCCCTGTAGTTTCCCTGTTCTTTTCCATTATTCCCCTATAAACCCAATATAGCCCGAATATTACCCTTATAAAAGAAAGCCTATAATCCCTATAAGAAACCATAACATACCTTACAGAATCCCTTTAAACCCTAGTAGCTTTCATTTCATTTTCCATTATCCCTTAATATAGCCCCAATATAAACCCAATATTATATACCCTATATAACCCATTACAGTAGCTTCCATTTTATTTTCTATTATCCCTATATAGCCCCAATAGAAGTATATATATATATATATACTACCCACTCTTTGGCCTCTGCTTGAAGCGCTTCATTCCGAGCCTTGGCCTTGAAGAATTACCACTAGGACTTATAGGGATTCTATAAGGTATATTATGGTTTCTTATAGGGATTATAAGGTTTTCTTATAGGGGTAATATTAGGGCTATCTTGGGCTTATAGAGAGATAATGGCAGGTCCTCAGAGTCGGGCAGCAAGGTCCTCCACTGCATCGGCCGCTGCCTGACATGAGAAAAACATCATCAAAAGCTGCCTATCTTCAGAGATCGATACTCGAAGTTGCGCGGGTCAAAAAGGCGCGCAGTTTGAGGTCTACACGTCTTTACCTAGGCTTGAGAACAGTAACGCACAACACATCACGATAACCTTGAGAGACCGCATGCATTATCTCTTGGCCCTCTGTTTTGGGCGGCACCTCGCAGCCGTACGAAGCACCCTAGGGTGTCTGCAATACAAAAAAAATACTCTTAACCCATGCCTCATCAAAGAAACGTTCCAGAACGAAGTGGCCGGTCACACCAAGCCCCTTCAGGGTACCCACCCTTGTGTTCTCTTCACGCATGTTGCGTTGTGGAGCTTCTGTTCTGCTAGCCACGGTTGCACGTTACAGCCAGCTGTCGAATGATACATATTGGGGAAATCACAGATCGGCGTAGGGGGCGGGAGAAAACGACGATGCGCACGTCCTGTATAATGCGGCCGTGTTGCCTTTGCACAAGCAACCTCCGAAAACACGTTGCCTCGCGCCTACTTCTGCTTACATAAACATGCAGGAATTTTCTCTCACACAAGATGCATATACATGCCCGCGCATCCGGACATCCAGTGCTTAGGCTCACGAGCACAATTTAACCCCTGCTAGAGCAACCTTCATCTAGCTTGAACACTCCTGGCAAAAACGAACTCGCATACAACTGTTGTCGATACTAACCCGTGCTTATTTAGGTGCGGTTGAACGCCACACGTCAAAACAGATAGGGCGCGGTTAGCCCTCAGTTTTTCCGCCAAATTCGCCAGCACACCATGCGCGACGCTGGCTACATGCAAGACACCACATCAAGAGGGTTCACGATGGTCTTCGATGCGGGCCTTCAGCTGAGCATAGGCAGCATCCGTACGGGCCCCGAAAACACCGGCAACTACCTCGATGAAGCGCTGCCAAGCTGCCCGTGTTGCAGTGCATGGCTGGTCCGCCCTCCGGCTCAAGTACCTAAAGCCGCGCGAGGCCTTTCGGTATCTCGGAACGTGCTTCGCGATGAAGACGCCGAATTGCCGACCAAAAGACTTGCCACCCCCCTTGCTTCGCGCATCTTGGCGCTGTGTGCGTCACGCCCATTTGGCCGTCAATGGCCTGGCCCAAGTCACCCTTTACGTCGCCTTTGCGCTGCCGCTTGCTGCCACCATCCTCCACACAGGGCGCCCGCAATCAGAGGGCTCAGAGCAACTCCATAGTCGTATTGGCCTTTGCCATCAGCCCAGCCATGTCATTAGTCAGCTTAGCGACCATTTGGATCAGCTGAACCAATGAAATCGACATTGCAAGTTCACTGCTTTTATTTTCAGGTAGCCTGAAGTTTTGGGCTTTCCCACCCGGAGTCCATTCTAGCCCGTGCACCTTTTCAAGCGCACCATCCAAACAAAGGGCGCAGCCGTCTGCATGAGACACCGACGAGGGTGCCAAGACACAATGTACTCATGCGCATGGTGCCCCTGGTATTGGGCCTGGCGCTCTACGTGCCCCGCATCGACGGCCACCCGTCCCAAAATTGCCTCCACTTTGGTCAAACTCGAACATCACTCCCCATGCTGCACAATCCTGCTCTCAGTTATGTAAGGGTAGGAGATGTCCGACATGTCCACAGTCGCAACGTGGGGAAGCAGGCTGCCCGTCTGCACATGCAGAACCATCTCTGTGCAAACCCTCATCGGTTGACACACACGTACAGCTGCACTCTCATACACGAAATGTGCAAGCGCAGGTCCACGCACGTGCGCAGTCAGCAGTTTTCGTTCAAGGGCGCAATCGGACATACTGCTTTTCGGGCCCACATTTTTTATGGACAGGTATGTGAGTCAGCTCTATAGACATATGCGCATGTTCTATCTATCTATCCGTCTATTTAGACATGCACGTTTGCACGTAAAGGTGTATGTGATTGTACGATTATGTGCAGGCACGGGTTCATGCATGCAGCATGTACTGAAGCAAGTATCGGTCTCTCATCGCAGTTCCTGCGCCGTGATTTCACTTCAGCTAGCTGCCGGATAGCATTTTGAAGGGCCTCAGGTCATCGAAGCAAAGTGCAGTGTTAATCCAAGCAACTTGTCGCCTCTACCCGCGGGCTTCGAGGACTTCATACGCAAATGCGCATGTAAGAAAGTTAGGCCATACAGCACATGCGTTGAATTCTTCTGCTGAGTTGAGTTGAGTGCTGCTGCACGGGCCAAGAAGGCAAGCACCCACCGCCACTCTGAGGGAGGGAATGCAAAACGGGAAACATGTCCCTCATACTGTGATGAAACTCATAGCTGCCTGCTGAACAAGGCCAAAGCAGAAAGCTAACTAACCACAGCTTGTTGCGGAGAATCAAAAGCGGCAAATATACGTGCAAGATGTCGGAGTGATTCGGTGCAAGTCACCATCGAGAGTACGATTCGAGATAATGCTGAAGCCCAACTTGAGAAGAGGGCCATGAACCATGCCATTGCACTCCCCCAAAGGGCATGTGGTTTGCAAAGTTACGTTGTTGCAGGACTCTACAAAATGAAAAGGACCTGCTTTGGCATTGCTGGGGAGGGGCATTTGACTGAAGCGGCAGCAGCAACACTTCAGATCTGGCACAGTTGAATCGCAGACTGGCTCCCTAGATTACACTTTTTTGGCATCAATGCTAAATACCACACTTCAAATCTTTCTCATGCTGAGGCAGCTGCCTCCAGAAACATTAGCATGATGCGACTCATGACAGCCATAATATCACTGGAGCTGCAAGTAGACTGCCGTCTTAGAAAATGCCAGACTGATTGTTGTGTGCGCCATCTCTTGCACGGGTCAGATCGCTGATCTGTACGAGTAGGCATGACCACAATCGAGCGCAGCCAGAGCCAAAAGTGGGAGGCGAACGAGCATCTTGGGGAGCCCTCTCCAACAGCTCTGTTCTGAGAAGCCCGTGGCAGAACAAAGCTGGAGGGTGTTCGTGCAGACTCGGCGTGTGTTTCCAGAAAGGCGCCTCATGGAGCTCTACGCGAGGCGTTGCTGCAGATGAAGAAGCCTCACAGCCAGCAGCCATCGCAAATCCACAGGTCCCAGTCACATCGTGGGGTTCAGTCAACTGTAGCTACTGTAGCATGTGCAGCTACACGCCTGACGTTGTGACGCGGTGCGCTTCTGTGCTCCCGGAACAGCCTTGGCCTACACTCTCCATATCTTGAGTTGTACCACAGTCGGTTGCGTCCCATCATTGTCAAGCCTTGCCTTTGCGCGGCCTTCATCGCGAGACTTGCTGACTCGCGACCTGAGTTGAACTAGAAGATTGCCAGCAGACTCCCGGGACCTGCTTTGCTACACACGCTGAGGATGCGATTGCATGCGGTCGTAGTACAGCAGGTTTAGGCGTGTGAGGCAGCAAAAGCAATTCGACGCTCAAAATCTTGAGCTCGGTTCACCTTGCGGGCCAGTAGACCGCTGTTGACATTTTGCCAACGTCGGCCTTAAGTCTACAGGTACAATACGGGCATCCTGCCCACAGGCCTTTTCCAAGTACATGGTAGAGGCAAAGACTTGAACAGTTATTTAGCTGCTTAGCTGCACGTAAACTTTGTACAATCTGCTGCTGTCGTTTGGCAGCACCTACAGAACTACTTAGCTTGATGTCCAGCGCAACGTCACTTGTGCATTTCCAACAAAACCCCAGAGGGTTGTGGGCGTTCTCAACATTCGCCATTGGTTCAAGTTGAGCATACTGCACGATATGCGCAAGTCACCTGCTTGGATGAGTGGCCTGACCGGATGCACTTTTAGATGGCTCAAGTCTGCAGCGCGTTCCCACAGGGCATGGTCTCAGAGCGAGGTCAACTTGAAACGATGAAGATCAGCTCAACCTCAAACTTGTCTGTCTGAGAGTCCCGCCCTCTCCTTACCCGCCGCAGCATGAGCCATCTGTTCGCGCGTCAAAATCGCCGTCAAAGGTGTCAAGGCCTGCACAAGATCATGCGCGGTTTTGGCGGTCTTCGTATCAGCCAGTGGGCCTTCTCGAGGAGCGACTCGAGCTCCGAGTCCAGGGTCTCAAAGCGGAGTCGTCCCTGCTGTCACAGTTCATGTCTTCCATTGGAATGTGAACCACCGCCAGTCCTCATCTTGAAGGCACCCCAGCAAGGCATCTTTGATTCGTATCTGAAACAAGGCGTATCAGAGGCATGCGCGACATCACTGCAAACATGTCAAGTGCAGGGCAGGTTTTCTAGTGTTGCTGTACAAACAGAAAAACCTTGGCAATTTTTTGACCTGACATGCGGTGCCTGATGACGCAAGGCCAAGATCTGCAAGTCCTTCGACTGAAGCCTCAGCAACAGCGCAATTGCGAGAATTACTGCTCTACGCTGCCTGAGCGCCGTGCTCCCCAAGGACCTCTCGAAGTCTTGTTCCACGTCGGTCCAAGAGAGCCTAGCTGTTGCAAGCTTGAGCTGGGGCTCAGTTGTAGTTGTGGCTGCATCATGTCCCTTCCTGCTGCTGCTTCATGTCAGCTTGCATAGCTTGAAGAGCCTGCGCTTACAGCCGCTTTGTGCGCACCCGCCCATAAACCATATAAACCCTGTCACGCCTCCTGCCGTCCCAGTCCCTTTACATCATTGCAAATCACCCATGCCGTCAACTGCACAACATCAAAAGCAAGGCTTGCACTAGTTTGCTTGGAGCCGGCATATGCCATCGTTACACACACGGGCGCTGCCAAGCAGGACTGAGGATGTTGGGCGATGTGCTGATGTAGCTTGCTTGGTTCACTGCTCAGCCTTCTACTCTCTGCTCTATCTTCGTTGAGCAAGTCAAGGGAATTCATTGCCCAAATTGGGAGCCTCTGCTTGCTTTGACAGCTTGGCTTCGGCATCAATGCTCATGGCCTGAGCTTCGCTGGGGCGTGCCAAGCTCCGTGACTCCGTGACTCCGTATACCGATTTCTTTCACCCTGGCCTCCTTGGAACGGGGGCTGCTTGCCTCGAGCCAGCATTTGCATCTTGTGCTCTCAGCACTGCCAGCCGACGTCAGGTCCCTCACCAATGCGCCCGTGCCACAACCTTTGCACATCATCCCCAGTTTGGGTGGATGTGAGAACCAAGTGGTTCGCTGACACGGGAGTAAGTTCTGGGCTTTGATCCAGAGGTGCACTTGCTGAGACTTCACTTCCAGTGTCGCCAGTGCCTGCGGGCGCGAATGCTCGTTGATCTGATTGCTCGATTTCTAAACTCCCAGTGCCAAACCTGCAACCCACAGCACTGGTTCAATCCTTGCGGATTGAGATGGCATTCGCCTCGCAAGCTGAGGCCGACAGAGTACTTGCAAATCGCACACAGGCGTCCAAGAACGAAACCCAGCGCGAGGAGACACGAGTGGCGACAACGCCTCCAGTGGCTCCGCAGAAGTCACGCTCCAGAGAGATACGAGTAGAATAGGCAAAACCGAACCTCCTTAGACGCATCAAGAGGTGTGGTCTTCGACCTTGTTAACTTGCGTTCAAGAAGTCCAATCAGGCAGCCATCTAGGGCACATGGCCTTGTTGGCGATCCTGGGGGTTTCCTGGTTCTGGGAACTGGCCTTGTCAAGCAAAAGCCATCATCCACCTGACAGTGCTATGGTCGGTTGGCTGCCAGGCCTCACTATACGAGGCTTTTCTCTCCGCGGTGCCTGATAACTTCAGGAGCTGGAAAATTCTGCACGTAGGGCAGCAGGCTTCTGAGCCAGGAACAGCGGAGGAATTTCCATCAGCAACTTTGGCCGATGAGCCTTGAAGGCGGGGTCAGTCCAACCGGCAGAAGTTATTCAAGAACTCTGTGGTTAACGCCCACTCTGCCTCGCGGAGTGGGCACGGTGCCTGAGCTCAGTGAGACCTGGCAAGGACTTGCACTCAGCAACAAGCCTGCATCATTCTGCTGCAAGCGTTCTGACTGCAAGTCAGCAAGATCGCTCTACAATGATCACCCATGCTCAACAATGTTGCGAATCTGCTCGAGCAGCGATGCCTTCACCTTAGCTACGCTGAGCTCCTTGCAGCATGTGCTTGTCAAAAGAGAGATCTTGACACAGCTTCAGTTAGAGCAGAATGTGCTCTCACACGAGGACTCCTCACCCTCAGCTAGGCGAGTTTGTGCTTCTGCAAGACGTTGTTCCAGGTCCTGCTTCAACCATATGGTCTTTCAAGATTCGGCCAACTCCAAACTCGCAAAAGCCAGGCGTGGGGCGGCATACTTTTCTGCGTTTCAGAATCTTCTTGGTCAGACTGACATTCACTTTGGTCAGCTGTTGGAGTAGGGCAGGCCTGCATGCTTTTCAACAGGGTTGCTCCCCATGACGTGGCTGCGCTCGGCCTGCGAGAGGCTCTGCACCAGGCTGGTCCATGCCTTGACCTGCAAAGGCATTTCCCACTACGTCTGCAGTAGGCGCAACTGTTCACGCAGCTTGCTTCCACATCCGTCGCGTTTGCGCGCTGCAGGCTCCGAGCCTGTCCCAAAGAGCGAACCGGTTGCAAAGATGTAGATGTGTCCGCTGGTGTCCGAGGCTCCAGCACACTCTGTGACCACGCGAAACAGCCGATACGCATAGAGACACTTCCTGCCACGAGGAGACTGCAACCAGGAGCTGTGATGTGCCTCTGCTGTACCACCACTTCAGGCCCGGTGAGCTGTGCATAAACCGCACTCGTCTACCGTGACGCTGCTGAAATTAGGACTGCCTGGTGTGCTTTTAACACAACATGATGTCGACGCTCTTGTAGCTTCAGGCACTACTGGCTGTTTGGAACCCTGCACTTGGCTCCCAAGTGCCTCCGCCCGCGACCGTGCCAAAGCTCAGCCTTCAGCTCTATGTTGGAAGCACGCAGAAATGGCTCAAATTGTTCATGATCTCTCACTTGTACTATTCCGAAGCGCCTTTGTGGGGTAGCCTTGCGCCTGGCATGCATTGGCTTCAATGAAACAAAGCTCTTTCTCTTCAGGCAAGCCTCCAGGCGGGCTCGGCACAGCTCTGACCACTCTGCCGTCCACACTGGCGGTGCCGCCGGCAAGATTGCGTCATCCGTGTACTTCACTTTGTTCGCAGAGTCTGCCACCTCCGTGCAGGAAGAATGGACACCCACAAACAGAGAAATGATGCCGACCTGACCACTGCTTGAGCTAGCAGCCACAGGCTCTTCTTGCACCTGACTGTGGACGAAGCTTCTTACAGCAGGGAAGCTGTGCAAATGGCCCCATGCACAGTGACACTTTGAGCTGATTTCCGATCGGTTGCGCCTCCTCAAAAATGCGTGCCAGCACCACTGCCTCACAAAGCAAGGACGTCGGATGAAGCCCTGCAAAATCAGGACAGGCCGAGGTCTCAGATTAAGCCGAGGGGCACACCACGGCATGTGACAGGTTCAAGGATGGACAGTTCGCTGTCTGTAGTCGGCACACCTTACGGTACCGCATGATTGGCAGCAGAACTGTAAAGCGACTGCGCAGGCTTTCACGAGCCGAAGCCCAAGTGTGGCAGACTAGGCTTCGGGCATCTGTGCACATCAGCACCGACTCTGTGGAAAGGCCAACGTCCTCCACGCAAGGACTTCTGGTGGATCCCATGCTTACATCACGCAGCAGCGCTTCGGCGATGAAATGCTCACCAACTTGTGTAGCAGGCATAATGACATTTGGGCGTTATCCAAATATACTACTTCTTAACAAAATGACCTCTTCACGTAAATCCGAAGTTCCTTTCGCGCACACCATCGCGAGCTTTCGCGGAAGCATGTCGATGCTTCTTTCGCGAAATCCAAAGTTCCTTTCACGCGCACCATCGCGACCTTTCGCGGAAGGCCTTGTAAGCCAGCCGTGGTCGTTTTATATGAATTTCCCTCTACAGGTTTTTGGACGATGCCCATTTGCAGACTGTCGCTCTCCCCGTTGCTGTTCGGACTAGACGAACATGCAATCATATATCGGTATCCACATCAGAATCGCGGCTTTCAGTTTGTGACTTGGATTCTTGGCCGGGCAGGGCTACCTTGCGCCAAACACGTTGGTGCTTGGATGCCTTTGCAATACCTCTTGAAGGTGCTGAGGCCGAGCCACCAATCAAAGCCGAGGAATCTGGGGAGGAATACATGTGGAGCAGTGCCCGTCGCCAGCCGGGAGCTAGCTCTTGCTGCTTTCGCAAACAGACCATCTTGAAGGCAGCAAGCGGCAATGTCAAGTCGAGCTAAATATTGTAGAGTTTTGGAAAGGGGGTTAGCCTTCCGGATTGTCAGTGGTCCCTCAACCTGCTCTTGCTGACAATGTGATACCTTCTGCACACTTGTTGAGGACGTCCTGCATGAAACCGATTTCGATTCGAAGTCATGAGTCATAACCTTCTCGCAAAAAACAAATTCCATCGGCCAGTGGAATGCACAGCAAGTTGTCAACAGTGATATTGTTAGCGGCCTCGGTTCAGCGATTACCCATGATCGCTGCACAGCTGACTGCAATCGAGAGCAAATCTGCCGAGGCTGGAGGCCTCGGGGCATTTGCATCTAATGACCGGTGGTCAGGGACGTGTTCTCACCCTAACCCCACCCCCCCTAGTCTTGTTTTTGCAAGGTTTGGATTAGCTTCGGTTTTGTCTGGACGCAGTGGCGAGCTTCCCACCTTGAAGCCCACGGTGCTCTCTGAACTGCAGTTTGCAATGCTACCTGCTACCGCCTCGGCTCTAACCAACCACGAGCGAGAGGCCGCCTTGGCCAGGGGTCTGGCCCCGACATGTGGCGGAAGCAGGACAAGCAGCAAGGGAAAGATGGGCGTGGGTTTCATGTTTGGTCTGGCTCTGTTTGGTCTGGCTCCGTTGTGTCAACTTGGAAATGCAAGATTGCGGCCGGGCTGCCTCTTCCACCACGACAACCAATGTGGTTTGGCTCTTGCTCAGCCCCACCGGATAAACCTCTGGCTCATTCTGGCCCCCGCCCCCTTTCTTCCCGCAGCCCTGCATGCCGCTGCCGCCCTCCCCCGGCGCATTAGTTTCGCACCACTGTTGCAACTACATACCACCTGTCACTGCTAGGAGAGGTCAGATGCTTCCGGAAGTTTCGCTCATTCGACCTTCAAGTGGACGATGCGACGCAAGAGGACATAAGATAGCTCAAGTGCCAGCCAACTCAAATGACTCTCACGCCGACATTTATGAATGCCTGCAAGTAGACCGTAAGCTTTATGACTGCTTTATGGCAGCGAGAGGAATTTCGGAACGCCGGGTTTGATGTCTCCTTGGTAAAATTACACTGAAGATGACTGAAGTTTGATACTGGGACCGCTTTTGTGCGTCCTGAGGTTGTTGCCTTCTTAGCTTATGGTACACATGTCCGTGTAAACTGTCATGGAAGGATAAATTGCAGTCCTCCGAGCCGAAAACAAGAGCGGCCTGTTTGGAGTGTCCTGATCTTCACCGACAAGTGTTGGTGTCAAAAAGGATGGTTCGCGATGCTTGGCACGAGCTGGTCCTTGCGGGTCTTCGTCAGGTGCTGCACTTGCCGAGGCCTTGCTCTAAAGCAGTATGATGCGTGTCAGCCTGTGAGTGCCACTATGAGGCGAAGGCCGAAACTACGCAAGTCTGCTTCGAGGCCAGTTTTTGGGCAAGCATTTTGAGTGTCAACGTGGGTTCACCTTTGTTCAAAGGCACGTCTGCTTGACTTGAGGTGTGTGCTGGGTGGATTTCAATGGAATTGGGCTCTGGCGGAAGTTACGCCCTTGGCGACCGGAGAATGCCACGGACAATCCTACACCATGACAGAAGAGGATCTGCGTAGATTCCTTCAATGTGTCTTTGGAAGCGATAGTCCCAGCAGAAGTCCGCCGAGGCCGGAGGCCTAGGGCGTTTAGATCCAGGGCCGTTGCGATTGGCTCTTTTTTTCGGGTTTCTAGGGGTGTAAGGGGGGGTCCGGGCAGATGCCTGGGTTCCGCACAGGTTGGCGGGGGGGGCCGAAATGGAGCTTCCCCCAAAGCTCCAGGAAAAAAACATGGATGTTGGGGCGGAGGAGGGTGGGGAGGGAGGGGTGCTGTGGGATCAAGTGCGCGTTCCAACTGTGCTCTCACCCCTCGACAGCCTTTGCCGAGGCGGTCTCGCGTTAGCGGTCAAATTACTTACGTGCTGCCGGTTCGCTTGCAGACGCCGAACATGTAGTCCTGCCTGTGTGAGCGAGGGCGGACTTGAGGTTGCCATATAGCTTGGCCGACTGCAAAACTTCTTCCCCCTGCGAGGCATTAAATTCCACGCAGCCATAAGCTGAAATGCTCTAGTCTGCAGAGCCTCGTTGGTTGCCAGGCGTTCACAGCCCTTCCATGCAGAAAGGTCAAGTGCCTGGATGTCAGCATATGTCCGCCTCTGGTTGCCAAAGCCCTTGTTGCGAGTCTCTGAGGCATGGACGCAGTGGCAACTGCCGTCACTGGTGGCCTCGACTGCGCAACATGTATTTGCAGCATGTGGCAGACGCCTCTTTGGGGATGTTGCTTACAATGACAATTCCCTGGTTCAAGCTCTCGCCATCTGCCTCTGTCGTGCCGTCGATGCCAAGCTGCCTTGCCTTGCAGGGACGACTCGTGAGAAGGCAAGAATCATGTGAATCTGCAATTCATGCAATTACGAAACCGGCCACGTCGCCCAGCAGCCTTCTCCGCCGAACGCCGCGCGCGCCCCATAGCGGCCTCGAGCTTGGCCGCATGAACGACCTAAGCAAAGAGCACACCATCAAGCCGCCAGCATGTACAAACGAAACTACCAAATGCACCAGGTGCAAGAAGCAAAGGTGCGGACAAGAAGGTCCCGAACGCCAAAGTTGGCACAGGCACGAGCCGCCTTGTGGTCCCATTTATTCAGCGTTTACTCATCACTCCTATGCATATCTTTGCAGATTCGGAACTTCTTAAAGGCCCAGTGCCTGGGGCTGCGGCCATGCCGAGATTCCGGCCATCTCTCGGCTCCACTAAGATCACGCAGCATGGCTCCATCGGGTCTGGGCAGACCCCTTCAAGCTCGTTTTGAAAAAACCGATGGGTCAGGGTCACCCATCACCCAGTACAAGATGACAGTCTGGGACGAGGGCTTGCTCTCATTGCCAGCTTGGCAATACAAAAGTGGTAGTGCTGCCGAAGTTCGCTTCAAGCCGAGAGCCCAATTCCAGATCAAACAAACATGTATCATGAAGTCGTTCTACTGCGCTTGTGCAAATGCTCCACTACGCGGTGGCATGCCGGGCAAAGTCCTTCTGGAACTTGTCCCGCATCTGCAACTGCATCACCCTTGGAATCCAAATTCTTCGCGCTCATACCATATTCAGACAATCACAGCGCAAAGAAATCGAACAAATGCCGGCGCATCGCGCGTGCGAAGACTGTGCCCGCCACAACATGTCCGCACGGTGTTTCTCCACCTGCAACCTGCCATGAGTAGACTTTTAGGACTCGCAGCTCAGGAGCTAAGCGCTTGTCAAGCCCACCTCCACTGAAGACTTCGCGCGTCCGCTGCATGTCGGAGTGCCTGCAGCTGCAACACAAAGTTCAAATCTGCGGCTGGCCAAATTCGATCGGGATCTCAGCGCCAGTCCCGAAACCGCTCAGACAAAAGGTTCGCTTCATGACCCGCATCCACATCTGCGCCTTGGGTACGACGACAACATGTACACGAGTTACTAGTCTATACAGGAGCAGCTGGCAGCACGTCTAATGTATGGCCTGGCCGGTTTGAGCCACAGCTTGGGGTCGGCCTGCACACTGCCACGACTCTGCAATGGCTGATACTGGCTGGCTTACAAATCTCGCACTGCAGTTTCAGAACCTGTCGTGGCCGTTGTCCTCGCGCTGGGCATGTAGGAGCCTGACCTGGCCAAAGATGTTCAAACCATGCCACCAAGGACGCGCCTGCTGGATCCTGCCTCTGCCAGCGACTTCTCCTGTGCCAAGAGCGCTTCCTGAAAGCAGAGGCCACACAGGGAGAGTCGACCTTCATGCAACTTCATGCAGGCAGCCTCCAACGAGCTAATGGCTTTCTGTGCTGACAGCGCGAACGGCCGGAAGACCTGTGCAGTCACATGCTGAGGCACTTTGGCGGGCATTTGCCAACTTCCCTGCCAATCAGGCCTCATCGTAAAGATGCAAGCTCATGGCCTGTCAAATCCGCGAGATATCAAGACATTCGTGTGTGCATCGCTTGCTTCGGTTCACTAACCTCTCATGGCTTTCGAGTTGGGTCCATCCTCCACGTCATCGTCATCGTCGTCCTCTTTCTGAACATCGTGTACAGCCTTCACAAACGGCAGTGGCATCACGCAGTCCGAAGAAGGCCAGTCAAGCACTGGCATGCTCACGAGGTACAGTTCTGTGCCAGGATGCCACGTCCAGCAAGTGCTTTAAAAAATGAGTTCAGGAAACCCTATGAAACTGTTGTCTCATGTTCTCGCTGTATGCTGCTACTAGTTGCGCTGGAGAGGGCGCTTCAAGGCTTGCATATGGGCAGTTTGATGGACTGTCCCAAGGGGCCGCGGGCAGTCTACTTAGTTCGTTGGAAAAGGAGCCAGCAGCTGTCTCCTTTCCTGGCACAATAAGTAGACTGAACTTGACCACGGAATTGCTACATAACTGGCATTCGTCTCGGCTCAGACTTCTTTTCTGGCGATCTACCGGTGGAAAGTCAGATGTACCAAGCTTGAGGTGACTTAAAGACGTTGTGGGCCGCTGCCTGGGCGAGCTCTGGCTCCGACAGGTCGACTCCAGTGCTCACCGGCCTGTCTGCTGGCTTTGCTTCTCTACGCATGTCTTTGAGATAGGATGGCCTCAAGCTGCTCGCACTGGCTTGCGCCGAAAATGCCTAACAAAAAATGTCGACGCAAGGCCCGACGGGATGACAAAGGTCTACTCACTTCACCGGCCTCCTCTGAAATGGAAGGGCCTTTTCCGGAGAAGGACGGCCTTCAAGCGGCAATAGGGCACGTGATGACACATGGGGCTGAGGAGAGCCGAAGCGCGCCTCCTCAGCGATCTTGTGCTGCTGGTAGCGCAAAGAGTGGCACACTGAGCAGGCAAGCATTGCAGTTTGTAGGCAAGCTGTCGAGCTTGGGCAAACTGAGAGGCTTCAACAATCTCTAAAAACTCTAAACAGCTGTAGACCATTGAACATGGCGGCCTTCTCTGCCTCATCCGTCGGAGCCTCCTCCCCACAAACAGCAAGACTGGGTAGTCGCATCTAATCTAATCTTCAGCTTGGCACTCCTGTGGCGAGCCGCCCAACTGGACAATGTGCTGGTTTGCACCTGTCTTTGACGTCATGGTTGAAACTCAACGGCGTTGAAATGTAAGACACCTGTTATGAAGGAGCCCACCTCACAAAGCAGACAGCATGGCGTAAGGGATGTTGCAAATAAACTCTATGCGTTCCGGAGTGAGCATCCCCAGGTAGATCAAGAAGATATCCAGACAATGCCCACTGTTCAAGGTTGCTGCTTCCCTTCTGGAAGGGTGCTTTCGTACCGTAGTTAACAACACCATTTTTGTCAATTCATGCCTGCAGTAGAGCCTTCCTTGGCAAGAACTTTTGTGTGTGTGCGTGTCTTTCCGTTCATTGCAAGCGGGGAGCAGTCACTCACCCAGTCTCAAGTACAGTCTTTGAAGAATGAAGAACGCATTGCCAAACCTTGCAATTATGGCCGTCTTCGTGCATCCCGGTTCAGGATAGTAACATCCTCTATCAATCACGCATTTTGCCAAGGGCCAGGGTAGATGGACTATGGGCCACTACGCTTCAGTGCTTGAGAGGCCATTTCTCTTGAGTTCTACAGACGCTGGCCAGCTTGTCTTGGTATGTCGGTCCGACACAATGAGACAGATTCTTAAAGGACTCTCTCGACCAGGCTTAAGTACAGGTACCGCTTCAATTTCGCAAACAACATGCAAAATCTCCTTACGCCAGCTATGCGAGCAACGGCACAAGGGCTCACAAGCCTTCGCGGCCAAGTTGAGATTCTCAAATCACGCAGTGCTTTTACTCGAGATTCTCAAATGCAAAATATTTGTAAAAAGTGCGTGATGCCAAGAGCGACTGCAACGGCAGGTACGGTAAGCAAACAACGTTCAGTACGAAGCTCAGAGCACGAGTCTAGCTAGACATACCCTTCCACAGAACAAACATCCTCGAATCCAAAACAGCCTGTCACTAGCCTGTCTAAGCAGCTTAGCACCTGTGACCCGTGGAATGGCACATGGCCGGAATCCCTCTCCCAATCGTGTAATGTAGTGGAATCCTGGAATGGTCATCTACTTCCTTCTTCCTCTATAGTGATACTCTCTCGAAAACGATGCCTGTTCTGTTGGCCGAGGAACCTAGCAGTTGCTTGTGAAGCTTCCCAACAAGGACGAGCAGTTGCTCCGGTGAGTACGTGTAGTTCACCTGAGAGCTTCTAAGTCAAGCATGGTACAGGATCAAGTTCAGCGTATATCACGATGGGATTGGACATTCGCTCTGTGTATGCCAGGATGCCTTCGCAACGTTTCGAACCTGTGGCTCTGCTGCAGATCTGCTAGCACTTAGCAAAGCTTTCGAAGAGCTCGGTTTGATGCATTTTTGGCCCGCGTGGCAAATCGAAGGGACGACAACGTCTCATCCTGGGGGTGACTGCAACCAATCATGTGCGGAGCGACGACAGCAAGAGCCTGAATGATGATCCAAACTGTACAATGTCCGAGTCAGGAACAGCTTGCGGCGAGAATGGCGACGCAGCCACCAGCAGAGTCGTACGACAGTTGCCACCCAATGCCTGCAGCAGATAGACAGCAACAGAGCTAAACTGCAGAAGGTTGCTCATTTGAGTCAAAGAGGTCTCGCTTACGATCCTTTTCCATCGCTTGCGTCTGGTCAGGCTTTTGCAGCTATTCTGTACAGCTTCGCTCATCAACAGCTAGCCTTGAAACAATCTCTGTACACAAAGACGCTGGAACAAGTGCGTGCTAAAGAGAGCTATTGCTGACTCGCTGTTCTTTTGCAAGGCACACGCAGTTTGAAACCAGACTTGACCGTCCAAGCAGATACAGCCTCAGCAACATACCTCTCAATGCATTTCCACTTTGGCACTTTGAAACACTCTAGTCGTACAGATCCACATCTGCCAATCTCCCGCCTTCTGCCTCAGACACAGAACGGGCCAGGGGCATCGGGTCATTAGCCAGCCTCGCCTCTTCGCAGGGCGGTACTGTGAAGCCCTCGTGATGGTGTCGGTTCGTCGGAATCTGAGAACCAGAGGCAGGAAGAGCTTAGCTGAACAGCATCATATGTAGGAGCCGCACGACTTGAGGCTGCCGGAAGCACATTGGGCACATATCGTTCCTCGGCTGGTTGGAAGGCGTACAGCGGCTTCTCCAGATCACAAGTTGCGTGCCTGATTCCGCTGGACCTGCACCACAGGATGAGGTTGTGCCGTGTGCCCGATATTATCGGGAGAGCCTTGCCAGGCTACAAGTAGGACGTGCACCGGGAAGTAATCAGCGAGATGTTATGGTCGTGCCTTGTGCAGCTCAAGGCCAGCATGGAACACTCCATGGCCCTTCCGCAAAGCCACTTCGAAAGGAGGGCTATCCTCCCTGGAGGTGGCCAAGCCATAGTACTCGACATGTCCTTCAACAAGGCTCATATCTGGTCAAGCTGAACATCTTAGGCAGGTGGATGGCCTCCCTCCCAAGTGCCACCAACATTCACGTTAAGGGTGACCTCCAAACTCTTGGATTCAGAGACTGTGGAGAGAAGTTGCAGTGCCCCGCGCCTCGGAGTTGTCATAATGCATGTCCAAACCTTTATCACCATCCTGCACAGCTTCGTAAAGCCTCAGAGACTATTCAACAGCTGTGATGACCAAGCTGGGATTGAATCTTCTGTTGTGTGGTGCCAAGTTGCACCGTGAAGCCGCGATAGGAGTCTAAAAACTCGGTAAAGGCAGGTAGAAGACGACCTGATTATTATGGACAAGAACAGATTATCAAAGGCAAGACATGTGTCACAAAACTTGAAGATGCATTAAGGGCATAGCTGGCAAGGACATTCACATACTCGAAGACAAGTGGGTCTAGCAACTCTTCAAACCCCAGCTCTGACATGATGATGCCATGGCCTCGATCAGATCTAACGTATGAACTACGAACCGAACCGCAACCAGATGCAAGCGGCAAGCGATGTCACGACAGCGCAGCTTCAGGGTCGCGCGATTCATTGTGTTTGGTGCGGAGCGCGGAAGGCCTGCCGTTTAGGCAAGCAGCATAGAGGTTGGGTCAGCACGTCTAGCACGTCAACTGTGCTTAGCTGCATTCAGCCTGAAGCGCGAAAATGGCTAAGCTCGGATTCCAAGGCGTCACAAAAGGCACGGGTAAACACCGGAAAAGTCCAAATGCCCGGCCGCAACTCCTGCAACGCAGAAGACCATGTGAAACGGGTGAAGCTGGGCGCACACATCAAAGTCTCCTGAAGAAGACCTGCTGACTTCAAGCCTGCAATGTTGGCCGCCTTTGTTCAAGGCAGAACAGACGGTAACAAAATGCCAGGCAACATGCGGTACGCCAAGGCAAAGCTGATTGAGCTTGAGGACCGCTGGCCCTGATGTGCGCAAATCCTGTACTACCTGCCAAGAGCAATGCAAGGGATCAGTACGACAATCCATTCGGTGCCAGGGCCACCCACCTTGAGAAACCCCGGATCTAGAAAGGAAGCTGCATCCAGAATGTACACCTTCAAGGGAATTGGAGACTTCACAAAGGCGAGGCAAGGACAGGTGGAACCTCTGGGTGGAGGCGAATGTAGCCTTGAGCGATCTTGTCCACACGCTCCAGGGTGCGATCTGGGGCCTCTGATCACTCGAAAGTGGCTCCTCCACAAGCTTGCAGAAGCACAATTAGGAGCGGGCAGCGATCCGTTCCTGACATGGTATGGGTGATGGAAAACTGTAATCAAATCCGCTCAGCACAATTGCCATCAGCTTGCCTCACGCTGTCTTCGAAGATCAGCCAAGACTTCGGCTGCATCGCAGCCTGCCGCCTCCAGCCTGGAAGAGTCCCGTCTTTGGAGCATCTCGGCATGCGCCATTATCGACTGCAAGGACCTGGCTCGCTGCCATGTTCCTGGTAGAAGGCCACATCATCGCCCCTGACCACCAAAGAATCATGACCGGATCAACGCATCATATCCCAGCGCTCTAGGCGAGGGGAGAGGTACTCAGCTTGAAACGTGCGGCTCCCTGCCTGTACATGAAATGCCTGCCAGCGCATTTCACCTCGTTCGCGTGCTGCTAGAGCAGGGCATGAATCGACGAACTTTCTGATGCCAAAATCACTCTATTCACTCAGCAAGCTCAGCCTTGGACGAAGTAGTTGTGAGTCACCCGGCACTGGCCTGCTTGTTGCAGTCTGCACGGATTGGGACAGAAACATGCGTCCAGGCATCCGCAGACTTCAGTCGCGGTGCAGGTCCACCAAGTTGAACTCGTTGCCCTCGTTGACATCTCTGCTTCCTGAGTCCACAGGTCTGACAACAGGACATGTATCGGACATACTTACACGTTGCTTTCCCATTTGCGATCTCGGCAAACGAACACCCAACATGTAGACTCACCAACATTGCTAAGAAACACATGGGACGCAGGACACAGGATGCTACCGGCTGCCATCAATGAGATATGCCAATCTGAAACTTGCAGAATGCACTTCTGGCCTCACGAGAGCGCTTCGAGTGGCGGTCTTGGCCAAGGCCCATCAGGAGCTGGCGCACGTTACGTCAAATGAGCGCACCTATTCTAACAGCTCTCCAAAACTCTCAAAAACTGCATGATGCCATCTAGTAAATCTAGTACACCACTGCCTATGGCATATCATGCCGACGTTGAGCCGAGAGCTACCAAGCACGTTGCGGGCACCCAGGATGCAAGAGAAGCTCATCGCGCTCACGCGATTTTTGAACAGTGCTGCGCCTCCTGCAGGACACGTGTCAGCTTTGAGTCCCGGTACGGAACGTGCGAGCGTTGCTCTGCCAAGGCGTCGATTACTTTGCCTGCACTCTTCAAAAACTGATGCAGACCTTCCTACCTTACCATTTCGTGCGGCCCGGCGCCCTACAAAAATTTGGACGGCTTGGTGGCAGACCCAGCGCGCTAAGAGACCAGTTGATTTTCTTGGCCTGCATGCTGGAATTTAATGACGCAGAATCCACTTACAAGCAGCACTTCTTGATATTGACTGCACTGACGGCATTGAGCACAGCACTTCCTCAAAAGTATCTCCAGCACATTCGCTTTTGGAAACTTTCTCGCTTCCGGCCAGATCAACCAGCGTCAGCCTGAAGCAGCAACATAGAAACAAATGGAATGGCCTGTGTTGCAGGGCTTGGCTCAGGCCGGGACTTGCCAAGCCTCTCTTCGCCCTGTAAGGACTGCTGCTCAACCTTGCATCCACCAAAGGGTTCTTCAGGGATGGGTGAGACAAATAAGGCTGAGCTGTGAGGCTGGGAGCCCTGCATGAAGCACAAAAATCACGTGCGAACGCGAGGAGTAATTGTTGCAGCGTGTGCGGCCCACAACACGCGTCCGTAGACCTCCACGGAATCATGAAGGGCTGCAAGGGGGCGGGTTATGTCAACTAATATGAAAGTACACAAGATTTAGCATCACCATCTGCTTGCACACACCACTCGCGCAGGTGCATGCACTCCCAATGCGACTTTACACCGGACGATGCGACTTAAACCCCCCCTTGATCCACGACTCTAGGAGTGGATCTCATGCCTGCGCGGATCACGGCTGTAACGTCAGAGGCACAGGTCACATACTCCCGCATGAGACCATCCACAAATAGACCGCGCTGCGGAAGTTCCTGTTCACAGCTTCCGAACATGGCAAAGCCATACTCCTGCGTCTGAGGCCACGCCAAACAACTGAAGAAAAATGCCTTCACACGGAGCAGCTCGCTGTTGGGTCTCAGCAGATCCTTCATCTTCTCCTTGTAGACCTGCGCCAGAGTGAGCTTTGCAGTGCGAGGAGACAAGTTGCTCCCGCCGCCGAAGGCAGCACTGACTCTGACTGCACCAGCACACGCACTTTTATGTCATCGAGCCAGGCATCCTCTCAACTAAACTGGACTGTTCATTATACGGCTGGCTGGCTGGCCTATGTTGATGCAGAGCATGTGTCCAAAACAATACTTGTGGCCAGACAACCGCGAAGCTAAGGGAAGACTCCCGCATCCCGGCTGTCAGGAGAAAATGTGAAGCCTCGACTCAGCTTTTGCAAGCAAAATGCACTATGTAGGGCTAAGCTTGCACGTCACAACAGGCAAAGACTCGCAACTTGCATAGGGGGCTCTACATGTACGGAAAGAGCGCAAGAGAGAGATCGAGAGCCAGTGCGATGGCCAGAAAGGTAAGTTTGATCTCAAGAGGGAGAAAAAAGAGTGGGAGCGATGCAGGCCCTGCCTTCACCCGCTCGAAAATCGTTCAGGGTCGCTCAGCCATCAGCTATCACCATAAGATGCGACCTCCAGTCGGGCGGCTCCGACGTCCACCACCAAGAAGCCCTGGCAATACTCAGATCAGCTGCATCTTTCAAGCTGCGGTAGCCGAACAACGACATGACAGGTAAACCAGAAGCAGAAGTGCAAGTGCTGAAGCCACATTGAAGATCTGCCAACATTCGAGCAGGTTATGATATTGTAGGAGCTGCATGCGAGTCGTTGAGAGACTGGCCAGGTTGGAGGTTGCGAACTGCGGAGTCTCGGTCGGCGGCGGCTTGCCGTACTGCTCATCCAAATCCTGCTTGGCCACCGATTGCTCAAACACATGATGAGAAGTGTTCTGGAGCAGCACATGTGCGATGTGCAAATTGGAGCTAACACGGTCCGTCGGAAGTCGATCTCTCCCAGCCTGAAGAGCCTTGTCAAAATAGTGTCCCCAGCAAGGCTGATGTGTCTACAACCCGACTGCAATTCAGCAAGCGCATTTCAGGCTCCAGACCGTCTCGGCTTTCTGGCCTTCATGGAACCAAATTTCAGTGATACTCTTTGACTCCAAGAAAAACACGCATGCAGCAACACTTGAATAAGGCTGCCACCAGCACGGAGCGAGGACGTCCTTAAGCCAACGCAGGATGTGAAAACCCATGCGGATAGCTTTGCATGAACATACTCCCGCCTGCAAAGAAATCTATCAGTCTAGCTGTTGCACCCATGGTTTGCTTGGTTCCTTCATTCTATCAACCCTTGTGTTTTTGGTCCCCCTGTCTCCAGTTTAGGCACTACAAGTCTGCACTGAGCCCAGAACGGAGCCACGAAGGTCTCTGAGTCAGGCCTGGCAGGCAACTATGTTTTGCCAAACCCAGAAAGGTTCCGGCAAGTCCGAGTGTCACACAGCAGAGAGTAGAGGCTAAAGACCTGAGTCCAAAGTCTCAGACGCGATCATAACCTTTTTCGTGTCATGTCGAGTTCAGAGGTTCAGCCAAGCGGGATGCTGCAGCCAGTGCAGCGAGCGCAAGGACAAGGCATGAAAGTCGCGACGCCTTGCACATCCAGATTTCTTAGCTAGCTAGCTTCGTTGAAGTGCGCATGTGTCAAGCACTTGGAAAACAAGAGTGGGCAGAATCGTCCCGAAGATCGCCACCATACATGGGCATCTCTGCTTTGTAGGGCTCAGGCCATTGCTCAGTTCAGCCCCAATCAACCGGCAATTGAAATCTACTCGGTTCTGCTGCTTAGCAGACGGCGACGGTAGATGCATTCAAGATTTCACGCGTAGCTCAACAAGCACCACAGCAGCTTGTTGCAGAATTATGCAGGTGAAGTGCACATTTTTTGTGGCAAGCCGCCCCCTCCCCTCCTCTCGGCTCAACCAACAAGTGCACAAGATCTGCACTTTGCTGCGTGCAGCATCTCGAGGGCAGAGCAATTCCTGATCACCACTTCCCTAGATTGAAAACTCTCACATTTGTTCGGGCGTTCCTTAGGACAACTCTATCCCAAGAGCTCGTGCTCCTTGCCATACGGCAGCATGCATTGCAAGTCATTCGTGCCGGACAGCCTTCTATCATTTGTCGGCTTTGCATCAGGTCCTCAGATGCTTGAATAACTCGTGCCTTGAAAGAAGCTTCTCCAGGTGTAGGTCGCTAGGCCCCCTGCCGAATTGATTGCAAGGACAACGAGGGCAAGTCAGCGCTGACTGTCCTGCCATCCATGCTTCGGCTTCATATCACTGGGCCCATCCATCGTCAGCAAAGAGGGATAAGAGTTTCTCATTTCTTAACCCAGCTCCCCCACAAGGCCACTGAGGAGCTCTTCACGCTGCCTGCAACAGATTCTGCTGCATGCGACTGAGATGTGAACGAACAAGTGCAGACCGAGCACGTGCTCAAGTCTAAGTCGTGGCTCTCCGCACCGAGCCCACCTCTCCAGCAGATAGCCGAATTCGGAGACCTGGCACTACGAACACAGAGCAATGGTGGCGAGAAGCAAGACGCTGGATGAAAGCTGTCGCGCATTCCGCCTCAAAAGGACATGCTGATGCAGATTTGCAGTCGCCCCCATGACTCTGGATTACGCAAATCACTCTTGCGATGGCCCGCCTTGTTGTCCAATGCCGTGCAGCGCTTGCGAAGCTCAGCTATGGTTTCATCCTCTCTGCAAGGATCCAGTCATTGTCCAGCTAAACAGGCCCAGCCCCATCAGCTTTCTAGCAGCTGTTATCACTAAGAAGAAACCCGGAATCAGCAGCTTTTTCAGATAACGCGTTCAGGGCATCAATCTGAAAAACACACCTCTTCGACTCATGAGTTCAGGCCTCACACTCCCACTAACTCTAGGACGACCGGCAAACAACAGCCAAACGACGAAGGCTACCAAAAAAAACTGCTTTGCCTGTCTCCATGTCTGGTCCATCCGGGCCATTTTGGGTGGAACCGGAAAGTCTGTTTCCTGGGGAAACGTTTTAAGAAAGCAAGCAGAGAAGCTGAAGGAAAGCCAAATGCACCCAACCGGGCCAAGTAAAAGCCAACTGAAACTCAAGCGAATCTTCTGCAGCTTTCACCCTGACTTGAATTTCCTTTTTCCCTGGTTTTTGCCTGGCTTTCACTTAGCTTGTTCATCTGGTCCCCATCTTAACTTTTCGGTGGCTTCCTTGTTGCTGTTATTTTGGAATGAAATCATTCTCACGTTTGGGGACATGGTTCGTCCTAACGTCCTAACACTGAAGAACCGGTCCTTGGCCTGCAAAGTTCTCTTGACTCGGGCCTCCGCAAACCGCAAGCTTACTTATCTTCTTTGCAGATGATGGTCCAACGGGCCAGCAAAAAAGCTGACATAGATCCAGTCTGACACGTCTGCACATGAGCTATAGTCTACACTCCTAGTATCCCCCTTGATATCCCCATTGTAGTAGCCCCGATATAATTCGCCAGATCACCCCGTTTAAGGAGTTTAGACTATAGCTCACATGAGCTATAGTCTAAACTCCTAGTATCCCCCTTAATAAGCCCTATAGTAGTCTCCTATATAATCCCCTATGTAACTCTTTTAAGGAGTTTAGACAATGGTTCACATGGGGCTCAATGGCCCGCCTCCAAATCTGCGATGATCTGCTCCTCGCGACGCTGAGACTCTTTGCCGTGCTCCTCCAGCTTGGCCTGCTCCTGAAAGCCAGGATCCAAAGCAGCCTAGGGCCTAGACATTGAGGTTGTTCCCAAAATTATGGGCCGCTTTTGGTTATAGATTATGCTTATATTAGGGCACCTAATATTTAGGGGTGCAAAAACGGGACCCTAATTTTGGGAACTACACGTCGGCTATAGGAAAGGGGATGGTGGATGTCCTCCTTTACTTGGACCATGGCCTCCCCCAGGCGCTGCCGCAGGTCCTCCAGCTCCTGAGTGCAGCTTCTGACATCTCGTGGAGCAGAAGCCTAAAACTACCTACGCTTACAAGGGGGTTCCCAAACTTATGGGTACCATGTTGGGGGCCCCAACAATGAGGGGTCATAGTATTTGGGGTCTGTATATGGCCGTCCCTCTATTTTGGGAAGGTACCGCACATCATTGGAAACAATTTGGGGGCGACCTTCTCCCGCGCACTGTCAAGTTGTTGAAGCTCGCTTTGATGTCGGCGGAGGGCCTGGTCCGAGGAGGTTGTGCCAGATAGCTGACGCACGGGCAAGCCTCGCCTCATCTCCTGCCTTCCGAAGGCCGTTGCATTCACTTTCGAGGTCTGTGCCTGATGAGAGCACAGGAAAGGCAAGTTGATTTTGGAACCATTCAGGGCAATGATGAGCCCTTTGCATCTCTGCTGATATTCCGTAAGTCGCTCGGCGGAGACCGCTTGGCAGTCCTTTGTAAACATCGAAGAACAGGGAATACTTACCTGCTTGATAGCAGGAACCCTGCGTGGCACGCTTGCTTGGTAAAGGGCCTTCATGTTGCGCATCATCTCTTCCAGCTGTTTCTTCTGCTGCTGGACCATGGTCACCTGCCAAGCTCGAGAGCTGCTGAAATGCCACTGCGGCTGTGTTGGCCTTAGTTTATTTGGTTCTGCTGTTTGGCCTCCGCTCTGGCATCCTCCAGCTGCTTGGCTAGGCGCCCCATCTCTTCTCCTGGCATAGAGGAAGCTTGCTTACTTCCCGCCACACAAGAAAAAGAATGCCCGCGCCTGCGGCTGCCCGCGCCTCTAACAGTTTGACATTGGCCTCGTTCTCCACAGCCAGCTGTCGCTCCACGTGCTCGCGGCTGAGTCGGTCCATTAGCACTTCCAGCTGGCAATCTCGCTCAGCGGCAAGCTCCCTCCGCAAAGATGCCTCACGTTCCTGTAGTTCCAGCTGCGCCTGCTCCTTCTGTGCCAACTGGCTGGCTTCTGCTTCACCTCGCATGCGTGCTTCAAGCTGATTCAGCTGCTCCTGGTGCTGTCGGCTGGATGCTGCCAGTCGCGCCTCTGCGTCACTCAGAGACAGCTGCATGCGTGCACGCTCTGCAGCAATCGCTTCCCGCAACTTCGCCTCAGAAGACTCGGTTGCCTGGCGGATGAGCTCTTCGCGCAAACGCCTCTCGGCCAGTAGATCGGCTGCGCATTTGGCCCTCTCCTCCTGCAGCTCGCGGTTGAAACGCTCAAACTCATCCCGTACCTTGTTGCGGTGAGCTTCGCGTTCCTTATCTAAAGCTGCCTCCATCTCACGATGCTTCTGTTCACGAAGTTCTTGGAGCTGCTTCTGTGCAAGCGCAAGAAGCTCTCGCCTCTGCTCCTCGAGAGCTTCTCTCTGCCCTTCCTCCATCCGGATCTTCTCCTGCTTCCTTTCAGCTAGGATTCGCTCGACCTCCGGCTGAAGACCTTTCACGGTCATGTCCTTGATCTCCTTCACCTTCTCCTTCTCCCATGCCTCGCGCTTCAGACGTTCAGTTGCAATCCAGTTCTGCTTGTTCTTGGCGAGCTCCTTTGCAGCATGATCCTCCATTTCCTCAATCTTCATCTGATACTTGCGCTCCACAGCCTTCAACTCATCAGAGAAGAGCTCACACCTTCTTGTCAGCTCTGTCTTGTCATTCAGCAGTCGGTCAACCTTTGCAGCAACTGAAGGGTGACTCACGCATGCCGCAGCTATCCGCAGCTGCAGGTGGCATTAAGACCCGTTCGAGTTTCAAGTGCCGCTCACTGCCAGCCTTGCATGCTGACAGGAGAGAGAGGAGAGAGAGAGAGACAGAGAGGGGCAAATTGAATAGAATTGAATCTTGCGATGCTGGTGAGAAGGCGCGCCTCGTAATGTGTTTTCTGCTGCTGCAACTTCCCCTCCCATTCTTTGGCCTCACTGTGCGTTCATGCTCCCTTGCCGCATCTATCAACTGCCAAGAGTGCAAGTCTACTACATCCTGTCGGCACAGCAACTCAACCAATTGATGAACTAGCAATGTGCTCGGAATTCTTGGTGACCCGCCGTTGCCTGCACCCTTTCCTTTTCACGCTCCTGAGTGCATCTGTAGAAACAAGCTGGCTCCAATTCAAGCTGGCGTGCGGCTGAGCATCCTGAGACTCGTGGAGAGCCCTCTTCAAGGAGTCAATGATTTGTTTCTTGTCTTGCACTTCAACCTCACGATAGCTGACAGCTGCAGTTGCCAGCTCCAAGGGGTCTGGAGAAATGGCCTCAAGCATCGAGGCTCTGGAAAGCATGGCTGCTGCATCCTAACAATCGAGCGCAAACTGCCCGTTCGCTTTATTGATTGCTGAAGGCATCCTACGCGTCCGTCCTGAGTCAGACCCGATGGAATGTGGGACCTCTTCGAAGCCAGTCTGAAAGACTGCTACCACAAAAAAATCGTGACTGCAGCCTGCCTGGGCACATCAGGCTCACCTGCCAGAAGAGGCTTGGATCATCAGGATGCTTGCCGCAGTCGTGACACTTCAGCTGTTGAAAGCTCCCAAAACTTTGGACAAAAGGAGATGCCTGCACTTCTCGATGAGCGGGTGGACAAAATAATCCTAAGACTGCCAAGGTCGACGTTGGAGAAATGAAGCTCGGTGCGAAGTTGCCCACTCTGAGCTCGTGACGAGGAGATGTCTGCCTTGGAGGATTCCTTCAAAGTACCGGTGTCGCGTCGTCCACTCAACACGTTACGTTCCATCACGTTCATACACTTTACACCGGATGCCTCAACCTCGTCCAAAAAGCTCATGATTGAGGCCAGCCTCTCCTCATCAGCAGGTACTTGCTCAAACAAATCGATGCAAAATCCCTGAGCGAAAGGAAGGCCTGCGGTTGAGGGCAAGCTGGCCTAGGCTTTGCTGCTCCGTGTGCTGAGCTGCTCCACAGCTGCAAGAACCCAGCCTTTATAGGATTTGTCTAAGATCCATGCACAGGAGCTACTGAAGTCGTCTGCGTCGTCTGCGGTCAGCATTGCTCATCATGTCCAGGCTCACAGACAACCCGTTGCCAGCCACTGCCTCCGGTGGATGCGACTCAGTGCCGCTTTGAGTTCGAAGTTCCTTCAAGTGGCGGCAACGTGAAGCAGACAAAATCGAAAGCTGGCGGCAATTGAGTCCTTGATGGAGAGAATGCGCGACCGCATCTGTGCGACCTTGTCCTGATAGGTGAGGTCAGTCTGAGTGACCCCCCTGTGGCTTTGCAACTGCAGCTGAAGGGCAGCAGCAGGGTCTGAACTCAACGCCGACCTGGAGTCCAAGCCATATCAACAACAGCCGTGTGGCGAGCAACCTATATGCACTACTGCGGGACGTGGACATGCGCCTGGAAGGCAAGGCATCTGGTGGAGTGGCTGCATCCTCTCTCGATGACACATTGGTCTGTTTGAGCCTTGACCTCAAAAGGCCTCGCCATAGGATCGGGGACAGTAGGGCTGGCGCCTCGGCAGGCTTTCGGAGGTTGCAGCTTTACTCTTCTCAAGCGCGGCATAGCGGGGCGCACCTTGGGCCGACAGGCTGCGCCTGCACGAAGAAGTGGGACTTGTTGGGTAACTCGCGGCCTTCCGTAGCATCCGAGCCTTTCTATGCATAGAAAAACATCATGGCCCTTTGTGTTTGCAGGCCTCCGACCACCTCAATCACTTCCTGCAATCGGAACCGCGTAAACACATGCAGTGCGATAAGGAAAGCAGATAGAAGAAATTCTCCTCCGGGTTGCGTTTGCACTCTCGCAGTTCCAGGGCAGGCGAGGCATCCTGGCCTTTGTTGTTGCGGTGACCGCAGTGCCGTATGTGTTGTTCCGCCTTCAACGCATGCATCTTAGGGCTGCTGCAAAGCGATGTTTCATGTGGAGGTACAGGCTTCGGCCTCGTGTGCACACACAGAAAGCTCTACGGCAGGCGAGAAGCAAACAGAAAATGCAGCTCTGGGCTATTGAGGCACAGGCTGGGCTGCCCGAACAGATTGACGTGGTGATTGCTCAGGCGCTGGCACCTCTTGAGAGCAGTGTATCAGATGTGGGCGCCCCAGCTGCCAGGCAGATGCTAGAGTAGGACGGTAAGCTACTGAGAAGGAATCAATGGGCTGGATTTATCAAGCTGATTCCGGCGGTGCAGGCGAGGGATGTCTGAAAGCTTGTTTGAATCACAGCCCATCAAACCACTTCAGTGAACAGCCTGATCCCAGTTGCCTCATCCTCAGGATCACGGTCGCTGTGCGCAGCTGTTGAAGGCGTTGTCGGCCTGACCCATTTGATTACTCGCTGACAGACACCTCTCAAATTTTCCGTGGAGGCCAGCAAAGAAAAAATGAGTGCTCGACGCTGTAACAGCGATGTTGGCCGCGGTGACCACCTTCCATGATGCGTGGATTGGTCACCAGGATTGGCAGGAACTACCTGATTGGCTCGAGCGGAACAAGCACAAAGCGGATGTCGATCCTTGATACCTCTTGGTGGCTTTTCGCATTCGCAAATCGACCGAAAGGATTGCCCCAACAAAGTTTGCGATAGGCGCTAAACCATGCAGCAGAATTCCAACATCATTGTTTGCAGCAAGCGTACCCTTGGGCTGTGCATGCATCGCCTTCAGGGCTGCCTTCGCTGGAATGCATCGCTCCTTGCAGGGTTGAAGATATGGTCGGAGACGATGCGCACATCTTCAAGAAAAGATCAAGATGTCCTGGGGAGGCCGTGGAGCCATGGAGACATGGCACAGGCTTGTCACTGAAGAACAGAACAACTACTGCTTGGATTTTACACAGGAAGCCCATGCCAAGTCTTGCCATCATGGGGTGTGCAGCCATGGGAAGTAGTTTGATTACCTTTTTGCATCTGCTTTTTCATACTTGCTCAGCAAAGCTTTGTATGGTGCGGCGGGGACAGCTGATTGTTTCAAGTTTCAAGCCAGCTTCAAAAACGCTCTGCAGGGGAGAGGCCTCCATGAAGCTACAGCGCAGGGTGAACTCAGTGTCATAGTCAACACTGGCTTCGATGTGGTCAAATACCTCTGCACAGGCCGATCCGGCGCTCCAGCAAATGCCCAAATCATCCCAAATCTGAACAGGGCATTTCTAGCAATGCGCACGAATCGAGCGGCCCTCGGAACAATTCCTTGCAAATCCGGCCTTAGTAGGCAACCAGTTTACCACATCGCTTGGTTGACATGGCCAAGCTTGAGTACCCAACACGATGCTGTCAATGGAAAGGTTTCCAGGACCTTGGCCAACGGAACTACATATTTCATATCCTTCCGGGCTCCTACCACAACTGCACATTTGACATCGTCATTATCTCCTACCACTGAATACACCAACGTCAGCACGAGGTCGGAACCAAACATACTGTGGGTCTTGCCAGAAGACTGGCAGACACGCATTGAAGGAGGCCATTGCTTGACAATGGGGACACGGGGATGCAAAAGTGCAGTGTTGTGAAAGAATGCCGGTTTGACCGTCTGTCCGTAGGCGAGGATGGTGCCGTTGTACCCGCTGAGGACATCCGAAACGATTGGTTTGCCTACCTGGAGAGAATCAAACGTCTACATGGTCTAGTTACACACCAGCCAGCACAGCCACATCTCGTGGCACGGTCGCATGAGCGCTCGGCATGCTCAAACACATCTTCCTGCGTTGCGGCCTTTCAGGAATGTGTGCCGAAGACCGCAAATGCAACAAACGAACACTGTGCCTCAGCGAAAGCCTGGTTGAAGTCGAAAACATATGCACCATCTGCCGATGACACCTAGGCGCTGTCAGCACAAGCCGACCATCCTTCTCAACAATGGGGAAAGCATGGCAAAGGTAAATGCTGCTGCAGCATGCTTGCCAGACAACTTGGTGGCCGTCACTTCTTCCGTTTTGGTGGATGGTGAAGGACACTGAGTCCTTCTGACCCAGCCATGGAATCAACTTTGACGCTAGTAGTGAGCATCTCTCCTGTTCTTCGTTCTCCATGACCGCTGGCCTCAGGTAACGAACTGCTGCCACTATTGCGCATGCTCACGAAATCACAATTACAACCTCGGTACACCGTGATAGCGCCCAGTAGAATATCTCAACATTTTTCAGTTGCCCAAGGTGTCAGGCACTTGCGCCTTTGACCGCTGCAGGAACAAATGCATGTGAATGTATGTGAAGTACCTGCGCTCGAGGCAACAGCAAATCTACTGCCTGAAGATTCTCAGGCTGTGGCCGGAAACGTACCACCACCTGAACAGCAGATATCGTCCTCGAACTCCTTGGCGGCTGGATACTTGGGATTGGAGCGCCCTGAACATTCCCAAGCCAACCTGTGTCCTAAGTGTGGACTGGGCCTTTTGCGATTTCTTCAGCTGCTGTGATGGGGAAGACGGCTCCATCGCACATGATGACGAATCCAGAAACCTGCAATGAAGGATAAGGCAGAAAGCTCTCCATTGTGGATCATAAGAATCGTTCTCTCACAGCTTTCACACACATCTGAAATGCAACGTGAGGAACCCAAACACCAGAGTTTCTGCCAAAGCGAGGCCAGGTCATGATTGACAGCTTGTGCGTCAGTGCATTTTAGAGTCACCTTGAAACCATCAGCCTCTGCGAATTGCACGAAACATCCATGTTCAAGAACAGAGCGAAAAAGCTCGCATGATGAAACTGTAAACAGACACTTCCAACAGTATCTCAGGCTGACTCCTTCATGTGGCAAGCTTCTTGTGAACATGCCGTCACGGGCACCTGTTAAGTGCTAGATTAAGCTAGAAAGTCATGTTAGCATCACGCTTTACAACCTTTACAACCACTGCACAAGTGCGTGACCCGTTCATGACGTCTGCAGGCCTCAATGACCATCAGGTCTTTAAGGCTGGCATGGGGAGACCTTCATACCAGGTTCCAAGCAGAACCGGCATGGCAAACACGATGTAAAGAGTTCCCAACAAGATGGCAATTAGGTTTAGGCAGAAGCCAAAGCTTGCCATCTGCGCGACAGACACACGTCCTGTGGAATAGACGACCATATTTGGACCTCCAGCCATTGGCAGCATGAACGCGAAGGACGAAGCGAAAGTAACGCCGAGCAGAAGTTGGATTGGACTGGTTCCCATATGCACCGCAGCACTGGCCATGATCGGACCGAAAATGCTCAAGGTAGACATGTTTGAAACCACCTCGGTCACAAAGCAGATGACTGTCACCACGACAAGGTTGAACATGAAGAAGTTGAAGCCGAGGTTCTGGAGAGCTTCGGCAATGACTTGGGCTAAGCCGCACTTTACAGTACCGTGTGCAATCAAGGCTCCGCCGCCAAACACGAAGAGGATCTCCCAGCTGAAATCCTTCTTGACACTCTCCCAATCCAAAATGTAATTCGGTCTGCCACCTTTACATAGCGATTGACAACGATCTTCGCCAAGTGCTCGCTTCACAGCAGGAGGCAGCCATCGACCACATGGCACCAGAAAGAGAGGAAGCGTAAACACCAGGCCTATGGACCCGCTGTCAAGGTCTGCTGATACCCAACTCTTCCAGCCAGGAAATGTATCTATTCTGGAAGCAGTAAACCATAAAATCACAAGGCAAATCAGGTCAAGGCATACCACCATTTCCTCGTATGTGAATTTCCCTAGCTGTTGAGTGCGAAGAAAAGCTTCACGGTTGACCTTAATACCGGCACCAGTCCACATCAAGGCGATGCATGTCATTGTATAAACGCAAAGCAGCAGTGCCACCGATAAAGGCAAGGCCACAATGCAGAATCTAGCAAATGAGAATTCTTCCTCATCCGGCCAGAACTCCTGGAACATGCCCATGAAAATTCCGTTAGTGGGTGTGCCCACGGGCGTTGACAGCCCACCGACAGTTGCGGAGTATCCTACTGCGAGCAGCATGATGCTATGAAACAATGGGTGTCCACCTTCTAATGAAGAAAGGAAAGCCTTCATCATCGGCATCACACACAGCATCGTCGCCGTGTTTGATATCCACATGGACAGCAACCATGTGGTAAACATGAATGCTGCTAGATAGAATTGTATGCGGTTCCCAATCCGTGAAAGCACAATGCGCACAAAGCGGGTATGCAAATTCCATCGCTCGATAGCCAGGCCAAGCAGGAAGCCCGCAATGAAGAGAAAAGATGTGCCAGAAAAGAACTTGCGTGCCAATACAGATGCCTTGACGACTCCGAGCAGCGGGTACAGTGCCATAGGCACCAGACTGGAAATAGAAAGGGGCATCACTTCTGAGATCCAGCACAGGGCAGTCACTAGAAGAACTGCAAGACCCTTTGAGGCATCTGGGAATCGAGAGTCCAGCTCAGCCCTTGGAACGAGGGCCAGCAAAAGGACTGCAGCCACCAGAACAACGCAAACCTTTCTGCCACCTGGTAGCACTTGTGCAGATGCAGTATCCTCCTTCAGATTGTCAATGGTTTCTGCTGTGCTTTGCTCGGGCACATTGGGCGCAACACCTGTACATGAGTCGTCCATGTGGAGGAGCTCAACTGTTGCTGAACCGGGCCCTTTGTGCTTGCAGCTGCGGCAAAATCTAACTCGCTAGCTGTACCAGACTCACCAGACAGAACAGCAACCTTGCCAAGCCCCAACCTGATTTGACCAACAATTTCGCGAACGAAGGGCGAGATTTCCAGCAGCCCTCAAACTGGCGGTTGCCTGGACGCAGCCTGATCGGGCGGCAGGCTTTCACCTGAGCAAGCGCGCTCTCCCATCGTCCATAAGAACATGTCAGAACATGTCCGAACCACTGCGAAGGCGAGAAAAAAGAAATCCAAAAACCTCCGGGTCCCCGGCGGCGAGCTCTGGGAGTCCACTGCTTGTGGTCTGTCTGCTTTGCAACCGCCTGCTTGCTTCCGCTTCCAGCAGATGCATCCAAGCATCCGCTTGCGGTGCAAACCCCCCCTACTCTGGAAAGAAGAGGGCTGCTCACAGACGTGCAGTTCCCGAAGTTTGAAAACTGCATCCAAGGATGCGACGCTCAAGTCAGCGCTGCTGCTTCGCAAAGGCACCCTGAAGATGTATGTTTCGACAGGCTAGACACACAATCCAGAAGCTGCAGGCATGCCGTGGCTGAGGCGTAAGTCTGGAGGCCGCCGCTTGCATCAATACCTAACCGAGCTCAAGAATGCTGAAATCTCGCACTTCCTCAGCCACGTTGACATGCGACAGAACTGCTTACCTGTACCTCAAGAGAATCCTGCTTTGCCTCTGGCCGTGGCCGCTTAGGCGCGCGATATGTCCATTTCTGCAGAAGCAGCAACCATGGAGAACGCTGGCTGCGCTGGCAAACTTAGTATGTGTGTTGTACGCAGAGGCTAAGTGAGTGAGGATGTCGCATGTGCACCTGCAGTGGCTAGACATGAGTACGTGCACTGTTCAAAGGCACGAACCACGAGATGATAACTTTCATGACATGATGGCATGATGGCTTAGCTGAGGCGATAAGATTGACAAGGGCGCTGAGGTGGCACGTTGGAAAGACGAACCACTGGCCCTCTCACTGAGTGTGCACGCAGTCGGTTGTCACGACTTGAACTCGGGCTCGCCTTAGAATGCGCATAGTTGAGACGGCATGGCTCGATGGAGCTTTGGGGGCACCGCTTCCGCTTCAGGCGTCTTGGGCCCGCGGCACGCCTCTCACGCAGCGAGTCAGCTCAGCATAGAAAGCCAAGGCCATTGAAGGTCACGGCTGCCTTGACCAAATCCTGCAACTCGGTGATGCAGCGTTCCACCTGGCGTTGCAGTCTGGATATTTGTTGATGCCTATCCACCGAAGGCGAATGTATTGTCCCGTTGAGCTTGGGGCCTCGTCGTAAGAACAGGATACCTTGCCGGTGTAGCCACGCGCAGCCTTCAACGGAAAAATCCGCCCTGGCTGCAGCTGCTTGGCTGCTTAGAACTCTGCAGCAGCCATGCCTTGGCCGCACTGGCGACAGCCTCTTCCACTACCCCTGCGTCCGGGGAGCCTGGATGTCACAAAGGAGAAATGACGCAGGATATGCGAGATATGCAACACGAAGTGCTGAGCCCAGTAGCCCACTGCCATCGTTGGCATGCGGGAGACAACTGACACCATGGAGGGCTGCGGTGTCACCTCGGCCGCATCCAGTAGCCAGCCTATGCCAGCCTCATTCTGCAAGTGGAAGAACCTGCCCTCGCTGCTCAAGCAAAGACATCGCCAGCTCCTGACAGTCGTCCATCTGGCATCGCTAGTGCCGGCTAGTAGCTGGGTTAGTACCCTGTCCTGCTTCTGCCGACGCGCTTCCAGCTCACTGTGTCTCGCTCGGGCCTCTTCATGAAATGCAAGTGCAAAGGAAGGATGTCTGTCAGCACTTGCTTTTTGGGGGGATTGTCGAGATGGCCGAACAACATGCATCAGCTGAGCTCCTCGGCTGTAGAAGCAGACCCATTTGCAACGCCTGAGCATGGTGCTTCTATACGTGCTTCTGCCCCCCTCCTAGAGCGGGCATGATGATTCCGGTACTCGCAGCTCACGACGTCATGCTACTGTTTATGGGAGCTGAAGATGCTGGAAGTATCGCCTAGCAGTCGTCATATCTCGGACCTCTAAGACTAAGGGCAGCGCGAGCAGCGGTCACCAGGGCAGCCGCAGCAGCAGCCACAGTCGGCGGAACATTCGAGCGAGCCTCAGCATTGAGTCATTTAGTAATACTTTGTACGAGAAAACAGCTACGCCCGAGCTCTGCACCTCACCGCAGATGCCGCTCTGCCAGGAACGTACCGAGGAGTCGGGATCTGCCCGAGGCACCCACAGATTTGCAGAATTTGCAGAGATGTATGTCCCGAGAGGCCGTGGCCACCTACAGACGAAGGCGCTGTCAAAGAAGCTGGTGCCAATGGCAGCGTCGGCACTGCAGCCTCCGGCTTTGCAGGCAGGAGCGCTTTAGGTGAACCCCAACTTGCGTTGAGCGCTTTGCGGCGTCGTTTTCCGCCATTGTCGTGCCATCGCTGAGTTAGAAGCAACTGTGTAGGTCCAGATTGCAGGCAAATCGCAGGGCTTCAGGATCTGCTTGACTTGTGATTAAGCCGCGCTGTCCATCTTACTATGCATCTTTCACTGAAGCTCCCCATCTTGAGAGCTGTTGGGCTTCGGGTTTACCGGGGTTTCCCTCAGAAGCCAGAAGGTGAAAAACCGCCTATTCAAAGAAAAACAGCAAGTCATGGCGAAGGAGAGACACATGCGACTGACTGGCCCGGAAGTGGCTGCACGCATGTGGCAATCTCGGCTGTTCAAGCCCTCTGCAAAAGGAAGCTAACAATCCAACGGACTTTAATGCCTGCAACGCGCACGCATTGGAGCTGTTGTTCACCATTTGCTGCACACGAAGCAGAGTCAGCATCCCTGCACACGAATTGTTTTGAATTTTGCGCAAGTATCAATGCATATATAAACAAACGTCACTAGATGTCAGCATCCCCGTGGCCAAAATTTGCGGCACACGGGCTACGCACAGCTGCTTCTGACCTCACCTGCCATCTCAAAGCACAGGAGCCTTGCAGACCGGTCCCACTGAGGCAAGCTGAGGGCATCCACACCCAGAATCTACAAAGTTCTACATCCCTGAATTACAGCTGACATGGAAAGGCTCCCTGCCTTTCATTGTAGGATTCCTCGCGGCATTCCTACGAAGTTTCTTGATGCAACAGAGCTCTGAACAAGAGGCAAAGCAAAGGCTGTGATCCTGCTCTGACGTCCCACCGTGGCCATCCAACAACCTGCCCAGGCTCAACGACTTGAGACTCCACAAACCATGAAGGCTCAGCACTTTTCTGAGATCCGCGGCGCGGCGCAGGATTGCACCGCTCCACTACCCTGCAGCAAGAAGCAAAGCATTCCACAACAGGCAAGGTGAGAAACCTTTGGCGGCTTGGCGCCTGGGAGAAGACGAAGAGAGCCTCTCTGGCTGGCAGAGCCTTGATCTACAAGCCCAAAAGGCACATTCTTCATAAAGATTCTAGTGTTATGCTGCATCTGTTGCGGCAAAACGGTACTGTAAGTATGATAAGTACCGTGCCCGGACTTCTGGTGGAAGGTGGCGTAACGCGGCGGACACGAGGCTGTTCACCTGTCTGGGGGCTGTCTTGCATGTTTCGTATGTCTCGCAAGGAGAACAATAAGGACCTCTTGGCATGCATCCATGGCCCTGTCCTTGAGTTCTTGTTCCTGGCTGGAATGCAACATCTGTCACATGGCTTGGTTCTTTCCTGTTTCTCTGTCTGCATTCTGGAGAGAGGGGGGTTCAGCGACAAAAAGCCATGCTGTGGCATTAACAAATCAATGCCTTCTTCTAGCCCAAAATTCGACAAGAACAATCCCACATAACGTTTACCCAGTAGTCCAGGATTTCAAGAAGGGATCCTCCACCTTTCCACCTCCTCTTGGCCCCACAATTCAGTTGGCCCCTGCTCCTCGTTGTTGGCATTTTCAACCCTCCAAAGCCCCGAATACGTCGAGCAGATGCCCTCACCCTCCCACCTCCCTGCAGCCCCACAGTTCAGTTGCGCCCCCTAGCTGCTCCATGTTTTAGGCATTTTCAGCCCTCCAAAACACTATGAAAATGGAACAATCCGCCGAGGCCGGAGGCATGACGTGTCTTGATCTTAGTCGGGGGAACCAAATATGGTTTGCAAACGCCCCTAGTACGGTCGGGAATTTTCTGGCGGTTTTTGGGTCGTTTTTGGGGTCGGGTGGGGGGGTCCATGCATTTGGTCGGCTGGGTTGTGGCCGCATCCGGGGGCGCCCCTCTCCCTCCCCCTCCCAAGTAACATCTAACTTGTACCAGTCCAGAAGTGGACCCCTGGCTCCTACACAAAGACCCCCTTTGTGCCTCATTCTGAAGAAGCAGCAGTCAAGAACAAGCAGTCAAGAACAGTGAAGAGCCATCATGACCGGGCTAGCTTGGTCGTCCATTACCAAGACTTGTGGTGCGCAAGGTGTCTTTGTTATGCTGCAACTTGATGTGATTCTGGCAGAGCTTGGGCTGCAGCCACCTTTCGTCGCACCTCTCCTGCACAGACCTCGGAACGAGGGATACCAGATGCTTGCAGGTTGCTGCTGGCATCTATCCAAAACAACACGGACCATCCGTCCGGGCGGCATCCAGAATTTTGATATCAGGCCCTGTCTGCTGGCCTTCAAGCATCACCTGTCGAACAGACTTGCCAGGTTTGACCAATTGGCTGGCTTCTGGCCTCCAACGGGTCTGCCGAGCTTTGAGTACTTTGCATAGCACCGTCCATTCGGCTTCAAAGATTGGCTGGGCGAGGGGCCATAAAATCCATGTTTGGCTGCTGTAAACCCTGGTCAGACGAGGTAATCATTAAGGGAAAAGTCATGTGCATCTAAGGACAAAACACGAGCTACATCTTGATGGCTTTCCTGCAGCAGAAAAACCCGGTTCAGGTCAAGAAATCTCAAGCAGCAAACATAAACGAATCATGTCAATGCAAACTACCCAGCGTCCCGAAGTCATCTCTCCACTGCATGGCCACATATTCATTTCAGTTGTTGGAGCTGCCGATCCTGCGGTGCCCCAACACGGTCCACGGTCATCTTCGACGCCGCGTGTGATGTATGTCATGTGAGAGCTTGGGTTCGTGTTGCGCACGTACATTCAGAGTGTCGCAGGACCAGCATGGACTGGCCTTGGAGAATTTCCATCTAGGTCTGCTCAAAGAGGATGCAGCCATCTTCTGGCACCTGCGACCGACGTTAGCCTTTCATGCTCTAGACAGGCGGTTGAATTGCGTACCACGAAGGCTTGTTGGCTGAGCGTCCAGGACTTCTCCGGCCAACCCAGTGATGCTCGGCTCGGCAACCCACACTTCACGGGTGTCAGAATCGATCAGCGTCAAGCCTCTGCCCATCGACGGCTGTGTTTGTGCTTCTTGGACGGGCTCTTGCTTTTGTTCTTCTTTCGCACCACCACAAGTTGACAGGGAAGAGGCTGCGAAGGCATGTAGCGACCAGGAGGCACCACACCCGTGTTTTCCAAGATTGTACTGGGCATTCCAGTCTTGGAAGGCTGCGGGCGACATTCCATAGGGAGATTCGTTGATTGCGTCTCTTCAGATGGATCAACACACGGACTTTCAGGTCGAGGACTGGAAGACCTAGGGAGCAGTGCCTGTGAATTCGCTTCTGGCTTCTGCTGGGAGCGCGTCTCTTGAACAGACGCAGGCCGCCGAACACGGAACATCTGTTGCATACACACCTTCTGTTGCATTGCAGACAAATCACTGGGCTTCATATGCTTGGCACTTACAGGTGATGTGAAGCTGGCTACCAAGCCTGCACGACCATCGCACTCACGCTCCTCATGCATGCGCTCTGGAATCGAATCCTGCTCATCGCTGTTCCGGACAGCTAAAACTCCTGGCAGTGGACGGCCCGACACTGGCACGTCGTTGAGATGTTGCGACACCAGCGGAGCTAAGCGTGGCGGCTTGCGAAACACAGCCTGTGGCAGAAGGTCGAGGATTTGTGGACTTCCCTTCACAGGCTGACAGCTTGACCGTTCCACAAGGCTCAAGGATAGCTTCGCAGGCAAAGCCTGGATTTTCAGGGTGTACCAAATGGTTCCCGCGTTTAGGTCCACCATCGCTCTAGACACCTCTGAGATTGCAGGCCTGGAGCCTGAATCGAAGCTATCCTCATAGCTGATGCACGGAAGCCAGCGCTCTGGACTGGGACCAATGCCTTGAAAGCTCTGCCCTGTCGGATCAGTCTCCACAGCTGCCAGTGTACTCGGACAGCGAAGGCGTTGCATGCTGGCTGTACGCAGTCGGAGACCACATGTCAAGGAGAAAGTCCAGAGCTTACCAGCAATGGCAACATCACGCGGAGGAGGCCCGCCCTTGCCCTGGTCCAACAGCAACTCGCAGGCTGCGGCATGTGCCTCGTGCCAGTCAGGATGCACGCAAATGGAGGCGGCCTGAGCAAATACTCGCACTGCGCTGCGCTTCAAAGACGGGCGCTTCTCTGATGACCATTTAGCATGGAAGCTGATCTCCCCGCAAGGTCTTGAGGTCCATGACCCGGAGAAACCGCTGGGGCTCTTCTGTAAAGGGAACGTCTCAGAATGCTGGCCCTGAGATGTTTCGCCTAGCTCTTGATGCTGCTTTAAACAATCCGACATGATTGCGCTTACTTCAAAGTGGCCGCTGCATGTGTCTGCGCCAGAAGGCTGCAAGCAGCCTTGCCAGGCGAGTCTCTTCGCATCCAGTTGCTTGCGTGGAGAGCTAGGTCCACCCTGGCTCGAGGCTGGTCTCGTGGGGTCCAGGGAAGTCCTATCAAAAGACTGCACTATGACAGAAATTGTAGATCCCAGCCGGCTGTGCCAAATGCTCGTCTCATCACACCAAATTATGTTAAGGTCAGCATCAATCGACTCGAAGCTCAGATCAATAGCGGCCGGCGCTGCAGGCTCAGGTAAACCCCTGGCGGAATCCCTGTTCACTGAAGGCACAGAGGTGCTCTGATGTGTCTCTGAGCTGTTAGGCAACACCCCGTTCTCCAGTGTAGGTTCCGCAGCAGCTGCAGCGAAAGTGCTTGGGGGCTGTCGCTCGCAAGGCTCAGCCCAGCGGGGAAAGGAAGCCTTCATGGCAAATACGATAGCCTGCTAGTCAACACATCTACACAGCCGCAGCAGCGCCGCAGCATGATCCACTGGTTGAGTGTCCATATCTTTGAAATCTCCACGCTTCATTCTTTTTTGAACCCAAAACAGCAACAAGCTGAAACATAGGCCACGACGAGCACCAAAATGCTTGCACGTTTCTAAACCCGTAGCTTCCTTTGTGCACTGAATCCCCACACCTTTGAAACCAATGATTGTCCAGTCCAGCAAGAACTGGTCACGAGCGGGCTGCTTGCCGAGGTCCTTGAAAAGTTGATACCCGCCCAATGTCTCTGCGCCCTTGTTTGACTCTCGGCCGCTCAAACTTGCAAATCATTTTGTGCACAGCAGGCAAAGTATCCAAACCCGAGCTGGAGACAGATGCCTCCCTTGCTACCAAGCATCAAGCATATCCCTTGGTTGTCAGCCCTCACCTAGAGCAGAATTGAAACCACACCAGAGACCTTGGGATCACAAATCATACCACCTGCCCCGTATAGGGTGTTATTTCAGGAGACTCCTTTGTGGCTCAACATTATGGGCAACGATATAGGGTCTTGATAACAGAGCGATGCAGTCTTTTCGGTTTGCTGCGAAATGCTTTAGAGGCGGGCGACGCTGGTTAATATCTGTTACAACTATCGGTTAAATGGTTGGAAGAAAACTTGGGCTTTGGTAGTGTGATTTGTGCTCTTCGAAATCGTTTAACTCAAGTTTGCCCCGGTTACCTCAACCCGAAACGAAGCCCTGGAAAGCATCTTTGCAATGATCGCAAATGATGTCATTACAAAATCATCCTCCTGAACCTCCTTACCAAAAGGACGCTTTCCTACGTCATGCATCGTTCCCAGTGTCCTGAAAGATTACTAGGCGGCTGTCACTCGGCTTTTTTCAAGGCGAAGTCGGTGTACTCCACATTTGGCTGGTGCAGCTGGGACAGCTCAGTCAGTTGCTCAACGGACATTGATCTACGACCAACTCTTGCTAGGATGCACCTGCTCCGGTGCCGGCTGGCGTACATCACGGTTGCATCACAGGTGCTGCGATGCAGGTCAGTCTTCAGACGTTGAGGCCAGGCGACGGATCCTTGAATCAAGGATGCAGCGGCCTGCCTACTTCAACTATGACAGTCTCGGAACAGACATAGACAGGACAGTGGTGCATGCCCACTTGAGGCTCGTGACCATCATCATTGCCTCAGGTGCCTTTCAAAATGGCATAACAACGGCTGTTGACTGAAGCCGGACTTTGAGCCTCGCTGGCTTCTTGGCTGTCGTGACATTGCCTCCAAGGGCAACGAGTTAGTGTAGGAATCATGGAGACATCTGCAGACGCTCTTTGATGCCGGCCTTGGCCTATCGTCTGGTACAAGCACTTCAGAGGGAGGCGGTAATCGCCTCACGTAACACATGTTTTGGCAGGCCGGTTCTTGGGGCAGTGGAGCACTAAAGCACAGAGCTGGGCAGCATGCCCCATCGCAGCAGGCGCGATGAAGATGCCCATCAGTACCAGCAATCTGCTCAGCACAACATCCTGTCAGCTTCAAATCGCAGCTGTCCCATGTCCTGACAGCCGCTGGCCTCATCCCATGTCTGAATGCCCACCTTGAGCCGCTGCAGTTACTGTTAAATCTACTTCATGAAACACAAGCGTAGCTCATCACAGCTAAGCGCGTGGCTGCCAGCAAGCTCAGCGCCAGCACCAATACGACGGAACGCTGCCAGAGGCATCAAGGAGGGCAGCGGGAGCATGCAAACCTGCTTGCAACAACCCAAACTTCCCAGCCTGAGGGTGTGCCAGCGTCCTGCATCGTGACAAGCTATTCCAAGGTGAGGAGAGGGAATGAGGGCACACCTGTAGCTTAAATCAAAGTCCCAAAATCCCAAGCTTGTGCGATGCGCCTGTGACTAATCACGGACGATTTTCTATGATGATTAATACAAACCCCCGGGAGGAGCTAGAAACTAAATCCCCAACCCCCTAAACCCTAACCAAACCGATCAAATTACTCATGTTGTTCTGGGAGATCCTTTTTTTGTGATTACTCGGGGGTCCGGAAATCAAGCCGCCGGTGTTCAGCATGCTAAGGCCATTGGAGCCGTGAAGTAACATATGCAAGTTTCCTGGCATGGTGGCCACTAGGTACCTCAGGGATACATAGGCAACGCAAGGAGATTTACTGCGGGATCTACGGGTCCCTATGAAGGAGTCCATCGCCTTTTTTTAGAGACTCCCATATCAATCCTGTGCCTTGCTGCTGCCATCCACATGATGTTCAGTAGCTCTATCCCAAGGCATTCCAAGCATCCTTAGTTGGGATTATAGCGTGCTGCAGAGGCCTAAATAGCACATAGTTCACGGAGCACTCCTATTCCAGCCCAAGATGCCCCTTCAAGGAGACATTCCTTGTCCTGATGACTGGAGGCTGTTGCCAGAGAGCTTTGGAGACAAAGGGCCCTTGCACTTGTGTGTTGGATTCGACCCAGGCGCTAGAGAGTGGGAATTCCAGGCATCAGCGACGATAAGAAAACAAAGAAGGCAGGCACCAAAAAAGCGCCAAACTCAATGTTGTCAGATCGAGGCCCAAGTTCGAAACAAGAAACTCTGCTACACGTACATGAACATGTCGCGCTTAGTTTGTGCTTCGTTATCGTGCGGTCCTCTGTTTGCTCTCCCATCTCAAAACTTCGTGGATCCCTCACTGTTGGAGCCAATTTTAAAAAGCAGCATGATTCCATAATTATTCTACTTGTCATCTCCCAGGACAAAGGAGACGAGGTAAGTACGAGGAGGAAGGGGTCGGCCTGACGAATGTCTGCAAGGAGCTGCTCGTGCTTGCACTGACACCTATCGAGTGCCGCACACACGGGTTTGTAAACTCGACAACCCATCAGGATGCACGAGGTGCCTTCCAGGCACTCATCTGCCTTAGAGCACAGGAAAGCCGCATAAGCAGAAGCATGCCAAGCCGCGCACAAGTCGAGGCAGCGGCACCGGAAAGTTTTGCAGGCTGCTTGGCATCCTCGCCACACGGCCAAGAAGCAGTAGAGGCAACCGTGAACTTCCACACAAGTAAGTGCACTTCAGATCCTCCCCTCGTCGTCTCATGGAAATGCAACGAAATCAAACCGCCAAATTTGCAACGTCCATGCTACTGCGCACAGAACTTCCGCACATCTCAGCTTCTAAGATCATGAGACTGTGGAACTGCAGCCTTAATCCCTCTGCTGTCCCAGATGCCAGAGATTTGGGGGCTCAGTGCAAACTGCTACTTGTGCTGAGGTAGAATACGCAAAAATTTCCAAGGCATGCTTATTGAGCTTGTACGAACAATGTCCAGGCTACAGCTTGGAAATGGCCACACAGCAAGTGAAACGGCAGCCTGCCGACACTTATCAACAGCACAGTCATGAAGAGCAAGTGGCGTAGGTCAACAGCAATTCTGATTGTACTTCTGTGTTGATGAGCGAAGGCATGAATGGTGCAGTGCCTTGCCACCCGTCAGCGCTTTTGCATCGCAAGTTGGCGCACTGGTACTCCAGGATACTGCCAAAAAGTGCCAACGTGTCCCATGTTCTCGTTGCAGCTCTTGGAGCGCAACCGAGGAACAGAAAAACGGGATGGCACAGAGTGCTCACTGCATCTCTGTGTCTGCTAGAGAGTTGTGTAAAGAATTATCGGAGAGACGTGCAGCTACCAGCCATGTCGTTTTGACAGTAAGCTGCTCCGCAGCACAAGATGCGCATGTTTGTCTGCGCAGGGTGCCGTTGTTGGATTCAAGCGATGCACATGTTGCCTGGACAGCTGACACTTTGAGTCAAACACATTTGACATATATAATCTACAAAAAAAGGCTGTGAGGCAAATGCAGGCTGCAATTCTAAGGAGAGCGCATGATGGGGCCTCTATGGAGAGAGCACTCTGCGAAAGGCCTCCCGTTTTCTCGAGTCTTCGGTGCTTCGCATCCCGTATACTGGCGCAGATATGGCAGCCCAAGCCCCAGGCGGACGGTGCGCGGCTCGGGTTCGCCCTCAGAGTTTCTCTTGATCTTCAGCAACGATGATAATAATAACAAAAATGTCCATAATATAATCGTAGATATGCTATACCAACAGTAATACAAAAAATGTAACAGTAGAGGAACCAACATACGTGGATTGAAACACCATTTAATGCTCTCCCTGCAAAAGGACTGAGGAGACAACGGGCGGGCGCTTGCTGCTGCAGGCACAATCCGTCAAGCCAAGAAAGAACCTCATGAGAGTTGCAAACGTCGAGCACCACAAATGCAGTGATTCTGGCACAGTATTTCGCGCTGGGGACCAAACTGCTGTTTGGCCATGCCGGGTCTTGCTGGTCCCTCCGCCGGAGGCACATTTTGGAAGCGGATCATTGATGTCAAGCAGGCCGGAACACTATAGAGAGCTTGCCGCAGCACTCTGCCAGCTGAAACCTGCACGGCTGGGTCTCTGGCCAAAGCTTCTTCGAAGCTGAACATCTTGTGCATCTCCTTGGACCTGGTTGGGGGAAGCAAGCCGCATGCAAGTGACAGTACCCGTGGCATTCAACGGCATTCATGAAGCAGGCAAACAGCTTTGTCCGAGTCTTCGGCATTTGCCGGTGTCGACCTGCGGCTGACCTTTGGGCTGTCACCTTGGCGGAGGAACGCAATGGTGAGCCGAGAGACTCTGAAGGCTGTACGTTTGATTGTTGCATATGCTGCCTAGTCAGCCGGCAACAGAGGTTCCATGTGCAGGTTGTCCCATGTTCCTTCTTCCAAGAAATATCCCTTTCGCCGCCCCTTTCGCGTGCTTTCGCGCGTGCTATTCTACTGATGCTTTTGCCCTGCGTATGCGTAGCGCTTCACCAGCAGCCTGCTCTCTCTTAGGGGAAGTTGCAATCCCAGGGAGTGCTGACCATGGTACAAAGTTGACGGCGTTGGGCAAAGTCGTGTTACGAGGCGGCCGCTTCTCCAAAGGGCAGGGCTCTCCAGCGCGCACTCCTTTTTATCTCCAGTGCGCACTCCAGAAAAGCTCTCCAGTGCGCACTCCTTTTCTCTCCAGTGCGCACTCCTCACATTTAGGGTTTTTAGGTTTTAGCTGGTTTTTAGGGCTTTAGGTGGTTTTTATGGTTTAAGGTTTTTTGGGTTTAGGGTTTTTAGGGTTTTGGGTTTTTCGGGTTTAGGTGGTTTTTGGGGCTTTAGGGCTTTTAGGGTTTAGGGTTTTTAGGCTTTAGGTGGTTCAATGGTTCTAATTTTTTAAAGGGTTTTAAGGGTTTTACGATTTAGGGTTTTTGGGGTTTAGGGTTTTAGGGTTTAGGTCTTTTTTAGGGTTTAGGGTTTTTAGGGTTTAGGGTTTTCAGGGTTTAGGTCTTTTTTAGGGTTTAGGGTTTTCAGGGTTTGAGGTGCTTAGGGTTTAGGTGGTTCCATGGTTTGAATTTGTTTTAAAGAGATTTTTTGAGGGTTTTACGGTTTAGGGTTTTTAGGGTTTTGGGTTTTTAGGGTTTAGGTAGTTTTTAGGGTTTAGGGTTTTTGGGGTATAGGGTCTTTAGGGTTTAGGGTTTTTAGGGTTTAGAGTTTTTAGGGCTTAGGCTTTTAGGGTTTAGGGTTTAGGTGGTTCTATGGTTTTTAATGAGTTTTCTGGATTTTTTTTAGGATGGTTACGGTTTTGGGTTTTTAGGCTTTAGGGTTTTTAGGGTTTTCAGGGTTTAAGGTGTTAGGTTTTAAGGAGGTTTAGGTGGTTTTTAAGGTTAAGAGTTTTTAGAGTTTAGGGTTTAAGGGTTGAGGGTTTTTAGGGTTTAGGTGGTTCTATGTTTTTTTGTGGGCTTTTTGGATTTGTTTGAGGCTTTTTTGGGTTTAGAGTTTTTACGGTTTAGGGTTTTTAGGGCTTAGGGTTTTTGGGGCTTCAGATGTTTAGGGTTTAGGGTTTTTACGGTTCAGAGTTTAGGGTTTTCACGGTTTAGAGTTTTGAGGCGCGCATCAGGGTTTTAGGGTTTATGCTTTTAGGATTTAGGGTTCTCGGTTTAGGGTTTTCAGGGTTTTAGGGTTTTTTAGGGTTTATGGTTTTTAGGGTTTAGGTGTTTTTTAGGGTTTAGGGTTTTTGGGATTTAGGGTTTTCAGGTTTAGGTGGTTTGATGTTTGTTCTGGTTTTTAAGGGAGTTTTTAACGGTTTGACGGTTTAGGGCTTTTAGGTTTAGGTTGTTTAGGGCTTAAGGTGTTTAGGGTTTAGGGTTTTTAGGGTTTAGAATTTTGGGTTTTTGGGGTTTAGAGTTTTGAGGCGCGCATCAGGGTTTTAGGGTTTATGGTTTCAGGGTTTAGGGTTTTGGGGGTTTAGGGTTTTAGGGCTTAAGGTTTTTTAGGGTTTTGGTTTTTCAGGGTTTAGGTGGTTTTTAGGGTTTAGGGTTTTTGGGATCTAGGGTTTTCAGGTTTAGGGGTTTTAGGGTTTAGGTGGTTTGATGTTTGTTCTGGTTTTTAAAGGAGTTTTTAACGGTTTGACGGTTTAGGGCTTTTAGGGCTTTTGGCTTTTGGGGTTTAGGTCTAGGTGGTTCTTTAGGGTTTAGGGTTTTTAGGTTTAAGGTTTTTAGGGTTTAGGTGGTTCTGTGGTTCTAATTGTTTAAGGGGTTTGCAGGGCATTACGGTTTAGGGTTTTTAGGGTTTAGGGTTTTAGGGTTTAGGTGTTCTTTTGGGTTTAAGGTTTTTAGGGTTTAGGGGTTTCAGTGTTTAGGGTTTTTAGGGTTTAGGTGGTTCTATGGTTTGCTGTTTTTAAGGGATTTTGTAAAGGGTTTTACGGCCTAGGGTTTTTAGGGTTTTGGG